AGTTGAGTGCCAGTAGTTTTAAGCTAAGCCAGTAAATAGGCAAAGTAAAGTCAAGTCATGAGCAGGGTTCACAAGGTTCCCTTGACCTCAGGGTCCATGGTCTTAAGTAGTGTGGCGGGTAGGTATTCATTATGTTCTTGTTATGCTTAACAAATTGCCAATTTGGATTCTCACCACCCCCCTCCCCCCCAGGTCCTATTTCTTAAACATCAGTGAATTACTGTTTACTGTGATAGGTTATCCAGGTATAGACTTTTGAAATAGCCACATCACACTTAGAATTTCACATTTGTGTGGCATTAACTTATAGTTTATTATATTCTAGGTATATAAATTGAAAGCAAAAACATTCCCTGGATAACAATGACCATATTTTTCAATCTAAAACTAAAGGATAATGGATAAATGATTTTCACACACCTTCTAGGCATAAGGGACAGTTTGTGAGGGATGCCTGAGTGGCTCAGTCAGTTAAGCATCCAACATGACTTCAACATGACTTTGGCTCAGGTCATGGTCTCACAGTTTGTGAGTTTGAGCCCCATGTGGGGCTCTATGTCTCAGTCTCTCTCTCTCCCCCTCACCTTCTCCCCCTCCCTCCCCCTCCGTTTGTGCTCTCGCTTGCTCGTTCTCTCTCAGTTTATGCTATAAAGCTTATATCCCTAGATGTTTATATTTAGAGGGTATTTTAATGGTTTATATGAACACTAAGACATAATATCTGAATTTTGCATGTGCTGGAAAATCTGGAATGTGTAGCCAACATGCAGTACAGGTTCCAAATGTACTAAAAACAAATTAGTACATACTTCCAGATGCTGTTGGCCAAGCTCTTTTTTCCACCATTATCCCAAATGATAGCAAAATGTCCTCAGTTAATGCATCATGGTTTTGGAACATTAATTGGGGGGGAGGGGTAGACACAATATTCCAAATGAAGTATCTAATTCCTTTTAAGCATGCATCAAATTTATCCTGTAATTATCCTTTTTCTCTTCATCTCTACTTTTGGTGAGGCTGGACTAGGGTGACCAGATATCCTGAGTCTTTGCCATGATCAGAATTGTTAGCCCTCACTCCCATAAAAGTCATTCAATATTGAAAATTGTTCAGGGGTGCCTGTGTAGCTAAGTCGGTTAAGCAACTGACTCTTGATTTCAGATCAGGTCATGATCTCAGGGTTCAAGCCTTGTGTTGGCTTCATTCTGACAGTGTGGAGCCTGCTTGGGATATTCTCTCTCTGCCTTTCTCCCTCCCCCCCTCTCCCCTCCTCCCTTTCCCCCTCCCTCCTTTCACTCCCGTCCCATCCCCTCCCTTTCTCCCCCTTTGCTCCTCCCCCCCCTCAAAATAAATAAACTTAAAAAAATTGTTGACATAACTTGATCATTTGTACCTCTGCCTTCATTAAGCACCTTAAGTCCCCATGTTTTTAGAAATTTCTTCCTTAGAATAGTCTTGACCTTGTAATGAATTTTTCAACAGTAATCAACAATCATTGAGTACATGATATGCCCAGAGTTGGGCAAGATACCAGGGCTACAAAGAAAGCCTGTTAGGTTCCCTGCCTGCAAGTCTTAGGTGATAGAGTGGGGAGAAGGTGGTCAGTCCAGGTCAGTCGGGCCACAGTAAATCTATGTGGGCAGTGTTAGGATAACACAAGCGTGCAGAGTTCTGGAACCCCATCAGCAGATCATGGAACCCAGACTTTGGGAGGCCAAGGAAAAGTGTGCTAGATACTGTAATATTTAGGCTGATAATTGAAGAAGGGCTTAACGAAGCAATCAGACAAGAGAATTAAATTGGTAACACATCATCTGGAGAGTCCCAGAGCTGACAGGCTTATTTTTTTCACCGAGAAGCTGCATTACAGTGTAGCATTTAAAAACAGATTCCATCATCAGGATAGCTGGGTTTTGTCTTCCCTCCCTCTCCCTCTCCCTGTCTCTCTCTCTTTCTCACTCTAACATGTCACCTATATTGTCAACTCTTCCAAAAATTTTCCCTACTGTTAAGAAATATTCTTTGACGAGCTAGAACACTCATTTTTATCTATCTAGCAAATTCCACCTTGACTGTAAACTAAAACTGATGGAGAATTTATTTTCTGCTTTCTGGGTTATTGCCCTTTTAACTGGCAGATGAATGATCAGTGAGTTTCCAGGAGCTGGTACATTTATCCAGCCTTTCAGTCTCTTAATGAGGGATTCTCATATAAAGTCTGTACCCTCACAGAAAGGAAGTGAGCATGCTAAATGAAAAGTTGATTAAGTTATTGGAGATTGTTTTGACCATGTTCTTTTTTAAAATTTGGACTCCCAAGGTTTCATATTCAAAGACTTAAAGAAGGGAGGTTTATGCATAAAATATGAATGAGTGCTTGAAACATTTATATTAAAATTGGGAACAATTAATTTTAATAATATTTGCCATACATCGGCTGTTACAAAGGCAGCAAACTATAGCCCCACAGAAAAAGAGAACTTTAACTCCCTGAAATTTTATCTGTTTTACCTCAGCATTTAAAAATTTTATTTATTTTTTAAAAGAGTCTTTTTTAATGTTTGTTTATTTCTGAGAGAGGGAGAATGAGCAGGGGAGGAGCAGAGAGAGAGGGAGACACAGAGTCCGAAGCAGGCTCCAGGCTCTGAGCTGTCAGCACAGAGCCTGACACGGGGCTCAAACCCACTAACTGTGACCAACTAAGCCACCCTGGTTCCCCCCTCAGCAATTTTTAAATTAACTAACTCTTACTTGGTTCTTTACCATATTTTCCAAGATTTTTATTTATCCTCTGCAGTTAAGGACTTGTGATTTGTCTTGGAATGTGGAGACAAACAGAAAATACTTTGGTTTTACATTTGTTTACTTGAAAGAATCATGATTTATTGTTTTTGTAAAAAAAATACAGATTTTCTTTAAAAAGTGACACTAGAAAAATAAAAGGAATAAAAATCATTCAGAAATAATCATCATTAATATGTATCAGACATTATTCTAGAGATCTATGGATTTCTGTAGTAAGAGAATGAGAAGGATTAAAAGGATAAATAAAATGTGTGCCATATTCCATGATACCCTTTGAGTAAGAGATTTCATTTTACTTGAACAGAATAAAACTGAAGTGAAACTAAAATGATTGGTGAACTTGATAAGTATTTTTTCCAAAATAAGAAATTAATTATCAGAAGATTCTTCTAAAGTTGAGAAAAATTAGAGAAAATTCTGAAATTATAATCATTTAAAATATATAATTTTTATGGATTTTTTATTTTTTAATGTTTATTTTTGAGAGAGAGAGTGTGAGTGGGGAAGGGGCAGAGAGAGAGGGAGACACAGAAGCTTCCAAAGGAAGCTCCAGGTCTACTTGGTTTTTTAAATTTTTTTTTTTTTTTTTTTTATTTCTAGGAGAGAGAGACAGCGTGAGCAGGGGAGGGTCAGAGAGAGATGGAGTCACAGACTGAAACAGGCTCCAGGCTCCGAGCTGGCAGTCAGCACAGAGCCCGACGCGGGGCTCGAACCCACAAACCGTGAGACCATGACCCAAGCGAAAGTCAGAAAGTCGGACGCTTAACCGACTAAGCCACCCAGGCGCCCCTGGTTTTTTAATTAAAAAATATAGTTTATGTGGAAACTAATTTGACAATAAACTATTTGTAAAAAAAAAAAAAAAATATATATATATATATATATATATATATATATATATATATATAGTGAATTCTTACCATTGGGGAATATAGAGCAAGATCTCTCATAGGTCTTTGGTTTCCCAGTCACTGGTGATACATAATTTTAGGTGGATATTTTCATCATCCTGCTTTTATTTATTTATTTTTGAATGAGAGCACGTGCATACATGTGTGGGGTAGGGGCAGAGAGAGAGAATCTTAAACAGCCTTCACGCTCAGAGTGCGGGGCTCGATCCCATGACCCTAGGATCATGTTGAGCTGAAATCAAGAGTCGGCTCCTCAACAGACTGAGCCACCCAGACGCCCTGCTTTTATACAAATGTACATTAGAAACATATCTAGCAAAATGGTAATGACACAGAGGTTTTCATTTTTCATGTAAGTGAAGAGTGAGTGAGCCAATTTAAAGAAAACATACAGTAAGCGGTAGTGTAGATAATATGCAGATAGGGCAAAAAAAACTGTGAGGATGATGTACAAACGACTGAAGTTTCAGAAATGTGAGAATGTAGCAGACACACAGATAAGGCAAAAATTGCACAAAGATGCAATAGGAGAATATTAAAATCTGAAACCTATTTAAATCATGCTTATTCCAAACTTGGATTTTCCCCTATTAAAATCTACGTATGTATGTCGGGGCGCCTGGGTGGCTTAGTCGGTTAAGCGTCCGACTTTCGCTTAGGTCATGATCTCGCGGTTCGTGGGTTCGAGCCCCGCGTTGGGCTCTGTGCTGACTGCCAGCTCAGAGCCTGGAGCCTGTTTCAGTCTGTGACTCCCTCTCTCTCTGACCCTCCCCTGCTCACGCTGTCTCTCTCTCTCTCTCCTAGAAATAAATAAAAATATTAATAAATAAATAAATAAATAAAATCTACCTATGTCTGATGCGGTGGTGCTCAATCCGTCATCCACCGAAACAACTCAGCGGCTGCCGGCCACGGTGTGCACCGTCACGGAGACACTTGTGCCCTTGCCCCCTCTGCACCGCCTCTGCCCACCACCCCACAAGCTATTCTGGATGGCAAACAAACTGGAAACATGATAAGATTAACTTTTATTCTACCTACTTCATTTTTTATAAAGCAAATTATTTACAAATGAGTGCGGTTTTTTCCCTTAACAAATAATTTTTCGGCACACCAGTGACTGTGCTTGCCAAAGTATGCATGTGTTTGAGAAACCGTGATCTCACAACTGGTTGGGGTTGTCTCCTAGAATCCCTTGAATTCTTGAAATCCCTGGGAATGTGCTTTGGGGACTGTTTTTCTTCCTGACCTAATAATATCTCATTTTCTCTTTAACACATACAGACTGTTGGGCGGGAGCTGCTGCTCCATTTAATTGAACATCTCGTAACCAATGATGGAAAAGATGTTGAAATCACGAAGTTAATCAACAGTACCCGGATACACTTCCTGCCTTCAATGAACCCAGATGGATTTGAAGCTGTCGTAAAGCCTGACTGTTTTTACAGTATTGGAAGGTAAGGATGGGCTAGTCTATTCAAAACAAAACAACAGGGGTGCCTGGCTGGCTTAGTTGGTTAAGTGTCCAACTCTAAATATTTTTTTAATGTCTTTTATTTATTTTTGAGAGTCAGAGAGAGACAGCGTGACCAGGGGAGGGTCAGAGAGAGGGAGACACAGAATCTGAAGTATGCCCCAGGCTCTGAGCTGGGCTGAAACCCACGAACCGTGAGATCATGACCTGAGCTGAAGTCGGATGGTTAACCGACTGAGCCACCCAGGCGCCCCAGGTGTCCCAATTCTAGATTTCAGCTCAGGTTATGATCTCATGGTTCATGGGTTTGAACCCCACATCAGGCTCCATGCTGGGAATGTGGAGCTGCTTGGGATTCTCTCCCCCTCTCTCTGCCCCTTCCCCTCTCTAAGTAAATAAATAAACTTAATAAATAAATAAGTAAAGTAAGTTAAGTAAGTAAAACAAGGCCCCCATCGGATCGTAGCCTGTGGCCTTGTTAGTGAACCAGCTCATAGCCTGTGTCATGTCATTGCCATGTTGGAAACTCATCAGGCTACCACTGCTTTGAGGATGAAAAGTAACATCCTGAAGAAGGCTGTTTCACTCCTGTGCCTGCCCTACTGCTCACCCCGCTCACCCCGTTCCAGCTGCTCAGAGTCCCCTCCATCCCTAGGAATGACCTTTCTCGCCTCAGGCACTGGGCACACCTCATTTCCCACTCCTCGCCCCTCACACTGCTAATCAAGGTTTCCTTAAACACTCTCTCCCTGACCTATCCCATGTTTAGTCCTCTGTTCACATCAACTGCCACTTTACCTTCATAGCACAAATTTTAAAGTCTTATTTCTATCTTTTTATTTTTTTTTTAATGTTTATTTAATTTTGAAAGAGAGAGAGAGACAGAATGCAAGTGGGGAGGGACAGAGAGAGAGGGGAAGACAGAATCCAAAGCAGGCTCCAGGCTCCAAGCTGTCAGCATAGAGCCTGATGCAGGGCTCGAACTCCTGAACAGTGAGATCAAGACCTGAGCTGAAGTAGGTGGCCCAGCGACTGAGCTACACAGGTGCCCCTAAGGTCTGATTTCTAGTTGAATGTCTGTCTCCTCAGAAATCTGTAAGCTACCCGGGGGCAGGAATCCTGTCACCAGCATTCCTCACTGTTTAAGTCCCCAGGGCCTAGCTAGGCCTTCAGTAATCACCAGTTGGTTTATGAACCAAAGAAGAGGGAGTCTTGTAGTATTTCTCATTTAAACAGTTTGTTTGGTTGCCCTCTGCCTCAGGAAATTTAGAATTTCTCAGATGTCTAGTATACATTTATATTTGTGCAAACATTTGTTTGCTTTTACCAAAAATCTCACCACTTGATTCCACTCAACTTTAGGTTTTTCTAGCATATTTAAACATGGCCAGTCTAGAAGTAGATTTGTATAGAGTAGTATGTTCCTGTTGTTTCTGTTATCAATTGCTATTAAACAAAACTATCCCCAAATTTAGCGACTTAACCCTTTTTTATTTACTCTCAATTCTATAAGTTAGGACTTTGGACAAGACCGAGCAAGGCTGGCCCATCTCTGTGCCATGATGTCTGGAGCTTCAGCTGGGTGGGGCGGAGACAGCTGGACTGGGACATGTCTGGAGTCTCGATCCTGACTGTCATCTGGGTTTCTCATTTCTCCACACGGACTGTTCACGTGGCTAATATCGGAGTCACAGGGTTCCCTAAGGGAGTGTTCCCAGAGCAAAACCCCTGGAACACAAACACTTATCAAACCTCTGCTTACATCCTAATAGCTACTATCGCACTGGCGAGAGCACGTCACACGGGAGGGGACCACAGGTTAGGTGAATGCCAGGTGTGGTTCATACCGTCCCCGGCCCTACACTCACATTTGGAAAAACACCTGATGCTCAAACCGGAGGTTCACACGTTGCAGGACTCTGCTTCCTCACATGCCATCAATAAACCCTAAACTACTCTTTTCTTTTAAAGGGAAAACAGTAACTACTATGACCTGAATAGAAACTTCCCAGATGCTTTTGAATTTAATAACGTGTCCAGGCAGCCTGAAACTGCGGCCGTCATGGAGTGGCTGAAAACGGAGACGTTCGTCCTCTCTGCCAACCTCCATGGCGGCGCTCTGGTGGCCAGTTACCCGTTTGACAATGGTGTTCCAGGTAAGCCGACACGGGCCCAGCTCTGGCTTCCTGAGCCCAGAGTAGAGCTGCGTACTCCGTGTCTGGAGGGGACAGGTCTTCTCGCGCTTGCCGCCCCTGCCGGGGTCAAAGGGCCTCCGTGTCTCCTCGCTGAGCCGTCCTTCCCACAGTCTCTACGCCGTAGATGGGCAGGGTGGCTGAGCTGGCCCTGACAGCACTATTTGAGATTCACTGGAAAAACAATAAAATTGGGTTAGAATACCCCACGAGGGGAAACATAACTGAAAGAAAATAAAACCAGAACAGCTGACCTCTCTTTGCTTGCTAATCACATGAGTGGGAATTGCTGACTTGCTGACTCCTTTTAAGACTCTGTGGGTTAAGGTATGTATGGGGAACTTAAAATAGGACAGTGGTTTTATTTAACCCCCATGGTAAATTTATTATTTATTATTTAAATTTATTTATTTAAATTTATTTTCTGTAAGAAAAGTTTACTGCCCTCCAGAAATTAGCAAGAGGGACTAAGAGGATACTTAAACTAAGAGGGTACTTAACTTTTAAGCTGATGGAGGAGGCATCTGAATATGGCTATGGTGTATATGTGATGCCGCTTTGCATGTGCTCCCTAAACATGAGGAACAAGAGCAGAGGGAGCACTCGTGGAAGCGGGTGGGCTTCCTCTAGGGAAGGAGAGCCTTTCTGTATGACAGGATGGCGCATTTCCTGATGGGGCACCGTGTGTTTCCACCTACTCTGCCACCAACCGAAAGGCCTTGGTTTGTTTTTCACACACAGCAACTGGGACGTTATACTCCCATAGCATAACCCCTGATGACGATGTTTTTCAATACCTTGCACATACCTATGCTTCAAGAAATCCCACCATGAAGAAAGGAGATCAGTGTAAAAATAAAATGAACTTTCCTAATGGAATCACAAATGGCTACTCTTGGTATCCACTCAAAGGTAAGTTTCTCCTTATTGACTTCCTCCCGACGTGCCAGCTGGTTTTTGTGGACCCCAGCAGTTGTCGAAGTTTGTTGGGCACGGTGCGCTCCCTTCAGTTGTGTCTCTGTCAGCTAATGTCACAAAAGCAGTGGGGGGTGACTGACTGACTGAGTGGTGCTCAGATACTTGTTTAGCATTTACCTCCTATGAGCCAGGAACTGTGCCAAGAAAGATGGACAGAACACAGACCCTACCCTCAGGTCTAATAGAGAAGAGCAACATGCAAATAAATAATTGTGGTGGCAATGTAATTAGAATAAAGAGAGATTTAGAAAAGGCACAAGGTACCCCAGAGGTGTGCTGCAAAGCCACGGTGCAGTAGGGGATAGAGAAGACCTTGGAGAAATGCTTACGTGGCATCTAACAGGGACAGCGGCTGATCCAGCTAATGACGGCCACGCACCAGTGGGATCCAGATATTGCCAGATCTTCCAGTTTGTAAAATAAGCTGAACATTTATGTGAAATATCATGATCTTAAAGCCGTTTTGCAAGCTAAACAAAAGTGCTTTTCCAGCTGGGTATGGGGGTGAGGGCGTGCTTCCATGTTTCTGCCCTTGGAACAGGGGGGCCATGTGGGGATCACGGGAGGGGGGTGGGTGTTCTTGTGAAAAGGAAGAATGGGAGCAGAAGGCCGGGGTGTAAGAGAACTCACGAGTCGGGGGCCTGTGAGAACAGGAGGGACCTAGGGCGGAAGCGCCAGAGGGGAGACCGGGGACTGGAAGGGGGTCTCATTGCCTCAGTGGAGAATGCTCCCTTTGAGACCTACCTCTAGCAGGCTGTTGGCCGTATTTCGGCATATAGGCCACTTTCCCGGTTGTCACTTGGATACGCAGACTATCAAGTAGACTGGCACAAGCTGGTACTTCTGTGTCTCTCTGCCAGCTTTCCAGGTGATGTGAATTAGCACAGACCATGGCTGTAAGCAGCAGGGTGAGACGCCGCTGCACCCCGCCTCTCTCTCTGTTCAAGGTACAGCCCCACCCCACCCCTCAAGCCTAGTCCCTGCTTAGTACTCTCCTAGCGGGGAGAGGGCCCCCTCCTGCCCAGTGGCAGAGCGGTCCTTCACGTGCATGGTCTGTCAGCTTCCAGACACATCCAGATGTGCAGGAAGTTAGCTGGGAACCTGCTGTCGCTGTTGGAAATTGTTCCCCAGTGTCCCTGTGTGTAAGCTGTGTATCCTGAGGGAAAAGCAGGCAGAGCCAGTGACTTCGAGGAGCGTAGAACAAAGCATTCTGGCTCAGCCTGGACATTTTGTCCGCCGGGCCTGGCCTGCCTTTCCGCAGCTGCACACACTCCCCGCGTAAGATGCTCACCCCTGCATGCTTTGTATACCTGTTTTGCCATTTAAATTCTTTCTGTGTGAGAGCTGTCCAGCCAAGGCCTTCTGTTTTGTTTCTCTCATCCTTTTTTGTTTTCCATTTCTTGGTGAGAATGAGCTCAGAGAGAAATATAAAACTTAGAAGGTAAGTAAAGGGTATAGAAAGGACAGAGAAATTCTTTCTGCTAGAATCTAGTCGTACATAGATAATAATCTAATATGTTGATATATTTTGACTATTTTCTTATTTATGAGATTTTTTTTTTCTAATTTGGTACTTCCCAAATACCCTGATGGAATCGAGAATTTTATTAGGCAGATATCAAGTTATTCAACAATAAATTGAAATCTGGCAGAAAGTTCTTCCTTCAAAGTGACCATATTTCAAAAATCCAAGATGCCACCAGTTGTAAAATACACTGTACCACCAAGGAAGAAAACTGTTTCTGGCCAAACTCATGCCACAATGATGATTTTTAGCCATCAAATTTAAGACACCTCCAATTCAGAGATTTCAAAATACGAAAATTTTGCATCTTAGAAGATATGAAATATGACTGTAACCCTTTGAAAATAGGGTCTTCAGAGGTGAGAACTAGAAAGTGAGCACAGGCGATGGCAGCCCCGGAAGCAAGGGGGCCTGGGTCCCCTCTCTCCTGAGAGCTAGCACGGCAGCCCTTCTTTTACCCCCCGAAGCAGTTTTGTGTCATGAGTGAGAGCGCCTGCGCTCTGGGCTCCACACTCACTGGCGTGTCATGCACTGTATGTGATTGTGTCCTCGTCTGCAAAATACAGGAGACAGACTCTTCAAACGGTGCCTGGTAACAGTGAACACTCACTAAGCATCAGGCACTATTATTCCTCGAAACAAGTATACTTAGCTTATGTGTGTATTTATGTATTAGAAGTATCACTCTGTTTAAAATGTGATTCACAGAAGAAATGTACGTTGATGAATCCTTTTTTTGTAATGTATGATTGGAAAAAAACAGGCTGACCCTTCCCCTCAGTTGATTTTGACACACAGTTGAATCTTAGCTCTGATCCAGTTATCCATATGGGAATATGTAGGATTGCCTGTTCATGCCTGGGTGACAAAATGGCGGGCCATGATTTTATTTGCTAATATGTCAAGTTCATCTTTTCCTGTTTACATGTACTTTCTTTGCAAGTGTCTGATTCAGTTGTCCCCAAGGTACAGGATCCTTGACTCCATTCCAATTTTAGACCTTAAAAAATAAAATATGCTTGTGTTTAGGTGGAATGCAAGATTACAACTATGTCTGGGCCCAGTGTTTTGAAATTACGTTGGAGCTGTCATGCTGTAAATATCCTCATGAGGAGAAGCTTCCATTCTTCTGGAATAAAAACAAAGCCTCATTGATTGAATATATAAAACAAGTGCACCTAGGTTTGTAAGATTTTTCTTATAATTCCTCTTGAGAAAATGCATGCCCCTGATTGTTTTCTCAGTACAGCCTCATTTTCAGTGCCGGAACTAATGATGAAGAATTTTCTCTGCATGAATATTTGCAGCATATGAGACATACAGTGCTTGTCAATTCACGTGAGAGAGAGCATGAGGTATGTCACGTTACCATGGGGGTATGAAATCCCCAGTACTTCACATTTTACATGTTGAATGACCTAGAAACTTGGCAAGAGATCCAGTAAAACAGGTTATTACTCTGTTACATCATCACCCATTTAGAAATTGCCAAGTTTGCTTGACACTTGTCACACAATAGTCATAGATCCAGAGAACCCTGGACATGCCATTTTGCATTTTTTTCTAGTCCTGGGCTGGTGACCTGGCACCATTAGCTTCAGACCCCTCACACCCTGCAATTCTGCCAAATGAGCTGGTCCTGGGAACCTTCCCAGTCTAGTCTGGTTTTTGACAGCTGTCTAGCCTTTAGCATAGATGGACAGACTAAATGTGGCAAGGGTGTTAGTTCTCAAACATGTACAGCAGACTTGCTGGAGGGTCTGTTAAAACACAGATTACCACGCTCTGTCCCCAGAGTTTGATTTAGTGCCTCTTGACTGAGTAATCTTTCCCAAGGAGATGCTGCTGGTGCCGGTTCAGAGTCCTTGCTTTAAAAACCACTGTACTAGAGAAACACGGTGCTTGTGATGGTGATGGAAGGAAATTTATTGAACCGACTGTCTCTTTTTGGGTGGAGTGGGGAAGGCTCTTCTGCATTGCCTGAATTTAGTTTTCTGCATCCAGTATGGCTTGGGGGGAAGAAACCGATCAAAAATTGGCACAATAGTTATGCTGCTACATCAAGTCCAAGTAGAAGGTGTGAGGTTTGAAGAGGTTTGCCCCATAGACCTGCTATATAATTGCACAATTGCGGGAGTTTTCTGCATGCTTCACACCAAAGCTTTCCACGTGCTAAAGAGATGGAGGCTGCTGAGGAAGAGAAGAATCACTGGGGGTACAAGGGCTGAGTGCAAGGACAATTAAGGGCTTGCCTTGGGCCCATATCCCTAAAATGGATACCCCTCCCCTTTCTATTCCCAACACCACCCCCCCACCAACACACAAGTGCACAAAGATCATTGGTGAATTCACAGGGCTGTGTCTAACGCGCTGAGACATTTATGAAGTAGGCTGATTCTCTGTGATAAAGGGTATTAAAAAAGTTATTAGCATTTATTTAGATTATTGGGTCCTTTTTCACATCAGGCTGTGTTTGGAATATTCTGATATTTCACCACTAGATTTTCCTCACAAGACACATAATAATTTAGCCTTTCTACTGTATTTCTACCTTTGGTGTGTTCCTTTGCCTATTGTAAAATTTCTCCATCAGCATCAACATGGGAGTGCAGCTGGACATGGAATATGCTCCACTGCATATTCCAAGGAAAGTACTGGTATTTGTCAAGCTGTGTTGCATTCACTGGCTTAGCTTCACCACTTGCTAAGATGCCTCTCAGACTTTGGTCTGAAAGTCTCTGGCCTACCTTATCTGGGAAGGAAAGGCCTCCTGCACCAATGGAAGGGCCTAGAAGGTGGTACATATCACCCCCATTTTACAGGTGATGAAACAGTCCTAGGAGCTGGGATTTACACTGAGACCTGACTGGGTTCTTTGTCATACAAAGCTGTGATGACTGGTACATATCTTTATTTACCTAATGTGTCAAAGGACTTCCAGAGTCCTCTGGGCTGGATGGAAATATCTCTTCACGAATAATGCCACTGATACCCAACGAATAAATACATAATCAGGCTACTAAATGATGACCGATGCTTGTGGCTGAGTACTACCTAAGGATCAAAAGGATACATACCAAGTAGTAGGAGTAAATATAAATGAAACTTTCAGAAGAGGTAAAAGAACAAATTACATGAAAATTGAGGTTACATAGCTGATATCTTTTGAAAATACTAGAAGAAAAATACTAGAAGGAAATACTAGAAGAAAAATACATTTAGTAATTCCTTCTCTGGGGGCCGAGAGGGAATGAAGAGTCAAGAATTAGAAAACAAAGTAAAAGGTAACTTAGGTCAACCAGAATTTGTTTAATGTTTGAGACAAAGATAAGTTTGCTAAATGTCAAAACTTTTACATTTCATTTTAAACTTTTTTGAAGGAAACTAGTACGTGCTTCATATTTTTCTGCTCTAGTAAATAATTACAAAGTATAATAGTTGGGGGATAGTTCAGGGTCATTTTTTCATTGCAGCATCTTATAATCATTAAGATGATTTGTCACTAAGGGAGCAAACTAGAAGGTGAAAAATAACATTTAAAATGAGAAGAGTCTCTTTTTCAAAATAAATAAACTTGAGGGAGGGAGAGAGAAGCCCAAGCAGGCTCTGCACAGCAGTACTGAGCCTGACTCTGGGCTCCATCTCATGAACCGTGAGACCGCGACCTAAGCCGAAACCAAGAGTTGGACGCCCAATTGACTGAGCCACCTCTAAAATGAGATGAGTTTTAAAATATAAGTGGCCTTTTGTTAACTGTACTCCTGAAATTTTAAAGGGAGGAGTGTGGTAGGTTCGGTCTGGGCTCTGGGAACTAGTGTGGATTTACAGCCAGGCTGTATCACTTAGCTATATGAGCTTAAGGTTATTTAATAATCCAAAGCCTCATCTGTAAAATTGTGATAATATTGCTTACCTCATGGACTTGATGTGATGATTCAAAGAGAAGCACTTTGCCATAGAACCTGAAATAGACTAACTGGTCACGAAATGGTCACTCCTTTTGTTAGTAATAAGACACCATCAATCAGTTCCATGATTCCAAGCAATCTTATGATTATAATTGTTTCTCATGCAGTTTGACCATGTGACAAAACTATTGAGTCCCTTGCATAGGTAAGTTTCTTACCGTAAATACACTGGCATTTTAAAAAAGATTTTTAAAGTAATCTCTACACCCAACTTGTGATCCCAAGATCAAGAGTCACATGTTCCACTGACTGAGCCAGCCCGAGACCTCCCCACACTGCTTTTTGTAAATACAGGGGCATTTTTTTAGTTTATGATTTGATGGAATCCACTGAGGGCAATGTTACAGTAGTTTGATGACCGAGTAGATAACCTGGAAAGGAATGGGCTTAGATTGTCATCTGTTTTCTCATTTTGATAATATGTGCTATTAATGGAGTATTTGGCAACAGATGTAGTCTGACTGTATTTTAAGTTACATCAAAAATAAGGTTACTGAGTTCTGGTTCAAGATGGCAATGTAGGAGGATCCTGAACTCTTCTCCCACAGACACACCGAATCTATAGCTACATATAGGGCAGTTTCCTCTGAAAGAAGTCCAAAAACTACCTGAGCCATTCCTACACATATATTGCAATGAGTAGGAGAGGTTGAGACACGATCTTGCCATACACCCCCATTCCTGGTGCAGCGACCCACATCAGAAACGAACTTAGAACTCCAAGCTTCTCCCTGAGTCACAAAAGGTTTGAACCCCATGTTTAAGAGCTACACCAAAGAGACAATCCCTCAAAACATTTAGCTTTGAGAGCCATGGGACTTGCATCCACAGGACCCTCAAGGCTGTAGTGAACTTAAAGGAGTCCCACAGATTCAGCTGGCTACCTGCCAGGGCTTAGTGCAGAGCCCACCAATTGAAAGATGCTCAGTTTTTTTGTGAAAGAGGCCTATTTGCTGGTCTTAAAGCTTTGGCCTAAGGAGCAGACATCTACATTTAACACACATCTATGGGTCCACTGAAATACTCTCCTAAGATGGAGGCTGGCAGACACCATCTTTGCGCTCTCCCTCCCCCCAGGTCACAAGTGCCTTCCAAAAAGGAGTTTGTGCAAGCGTCTCGTACTCTTGGTAGTTCTGGTAGCCAGTGGATTTGTGTTCATGGGCTCAACAGGATACTAGCAAACACATACTTCTTAACTGGCTACCACCCCAGGGCTCAGTGTAAAGGAAGGAGGGAGACACACCGCATCTTCCCCTGAAAGAGGTTTATTTGCATACTTTAAAAGCCTCTGCCTGAGGGTCTTCCAATCACCCTCAATCTAGGTACTGACAGGTCTTGGCCCAACGTCAACTACTGGGATCTACTAAGAATAAACTAAGCTGCTTAGACAAACACGAAGGTTTGAGAAACAACCAAGATCTAGGGCAGAGTTGAATTATAAGGTTCATCCACAAAAGACCACTCCTCCAAGACTGGAAGAGGTGACCGTGTTACCCACTGTATAGAAATCAACACAGAGTCCAAGAAAAAGAAGAAACAGAGCAATAGGTTTCAAACAAAAGATTGGGGCAGCTTATCAGTTGAGCATCCAGCTCTTAATTTTGGCTCAGGCCATGATCCCCGGGTCATAGATGCAGTCCCATGTCAGAGCATGCAGCCTGCTTAAGGTTCTCTCACTCCTCCTCTGCCCCAGTCCCCCCCAAAAGAGGAGGTAATACTCTGAAATTCATTTTACAAGGCCTGCATTGCCCTGTTAGCAACACCAATGACACAAGAAAATTACAAGCCAATATACCTGATAAACACAGATGCAAAAATCCTCAACAAAGTATTAGCAAACCAACTTCAACAATACATTCAAAAGACCTTGGTCAAGTGATTTATTCCAGCGATGCAAAGATGGCTCAACATCCACAAATCAATCAACATGATATATACCACATTAACAAAATGAGAGATAAAAATATCCCAGAAGACGAAGAAAAAAAACATTTTTAATTTGACATCCATTTAGAAAAACTCAACAAAATGGGTATAGAGGGGAAGTACCTTAACCTAATAGGAGCCATTTATGAAAGGCCTGCAGCTTACCTCATACTCAACAGTAAAAGTTTTTCTTCTAAGATCAGGAACAAGATAAGAACACCTCTCCCACCACTTTTTTTTTCAACATAGTACTGGAAGTCCAGAGCAGTTTGGCAAGAAAAAAAGTATGCAAAACAGAAAAAAGGTAAAATTGTCACTATTTGCAAGTCACATGATACTATATATAGAAAACCCTAAGAACTCTATCAAAAAACTGTTTGAACTAATGAATTCATTCAAGTTTCAGGATTCAAAATCAGTACACGAAAACCTGTTGTTTCTAGAGACTAATAACAAACTATTAGAAGGAGAAATTAAGAAAACGATCCCATTTACAACTGCATTATTAACAAGAGTAAAACACCTAGGAATAAATTTCACCACGGAGGTTTAAGACTCGTACATAGAAAAATACAAACCTTTGATAAAAGAAATTGAAAGCACAAATAAATGAAGAGACAACCCATGCTCATAGATTAGAAGAATTAATATTGTTAAAATGTCTATACAACTCAAAGCAATCTACACATTCAGTGCAATCCCTATCAAAGTTCTAAGAGTGTTTTTCACAGAAAGAATAAACAATCCTAAAATTTGTATTCATTCACAAAAGACCCCAAATAGCCACCTAAGAACAAAACTGCCTGATTTCAAACTATACTTCAAAGCTATAGTAAACAAAACAGTAGGATATTGGCATAAAAACAGACTCATACATCAATTGAGCAGAATTACAGAGCCCACAAATAAGCTTAGGCACATGTGGTCAATTCATTGAGGTCAAAGGAGACAAAAATACACATGGGAAAGAATAGTCTCTTCAATAAATGGTGCAGGGAAAACTGGACCACTATCTTATACCTTATACAAAAATTAACTCAGAATGGATTAAAAACCTGAATATACAACTTGAAATCATAAAGCCCTTAGAGGTGGTAAGCTCCTTGACATCAGTCTTGGCAATTTTTTTTTATTTGATACCAAAAAGCAAAGGCAACAAAAGAAAAAATAAGAACAGGTGGGACTACATCAAGCTAAAAAGCTCTGCAGAGCAAAGAAGAGTATCAATAAAATGAAAAAGGCAACCTACCGAATGGAAGAAAATATTTGCAAATCATATATCTGATAAGTTGTTAACAGCCAAAATATATAAGGGACTCCTACAATGATCCAACTTAAATGATCCAACCAAATGATCCAACTTAAAAATCAAGCAAGGATCTAAGGAGATATTTTTCCAAAGACAACGTGCAGGTACATGAAAAAGTGCTCAAGATTGCTAATCATTAGGGAAATGCAAGTCAAAATCACAATGAGACACCAACTCACACCTGTCAGAATAGCTAAAAATAAACACAAGAAACACGTGTTGACGGGGATGTGAAGAGAGAACCCTTGTGCACTGTTGCTGGGAATGTAAACTGGTTCAGTCACTGTGGAGAACACTGTGGAGGTTCCTCAAGTTAACAAAGAGCTACACAGTATGGTCCAACAATTCTACTTCTGAGTACTTCTCCAAAGGAAATTAAACACTAACTTGAAAACATATCTGCACTCCCACATTCACTGCATTATTTGCAATAGCCAAGACGTGGGAGCAATGTGAAGGGTCTAATGATGATCAGATAAAGAAAATGTGGTACATATACATACCACTTTTTCTTCATACAAAAAAAGAAAAAAAATCCAGCCATCTGTAACAACAACATGCCCTTGTGGGCATCGTGCTGAGTGAAAGACAGAGAAAGGTCAGACAAGGACAAATAGCATATGATCACTTTTATGTAGAATTTAAAAAAAAAAAAAAAAACCCAGACACCTGGCTGGCTCGCTCAGTGGAGTGTGTGACTCTTGATCTCAGGAGTGTGAGTTTGAGCCCCACATATGGTGTAGAGATTGCTTAAAAATAAAAATCTTTAAAAACACAACAAACAAAAAGTAACTCGTACTGATTTGTAGAGAACGGATTGGTAGTTGCCAGAGGCACGGACTGGGTGGCTGAAATGGATAAAGAAGTATAACTTCCAGTTATAAATCCTGGGGATATAATGTATAGCACAGTGTATACAGTTAATAATACTGTATTGTAGATTTGAAATTTGCTGAGAGTAAGTCTTAAAAGCTCTCATCATAAGAAAAAATTTTGAATCATATTAACTAGATATGTTGTGATCATTTCACAAATCATGTTATACACCTGAATCTAATGTGACAATTATATCTCAACTTTTTGAAGAAGTTTACTTCCCTTAAATACTTCATTGTTATTATCAAAACAGCTTAATAAATATTGGGCATATTTTTCTTAAACACCTACAAGAATTTTTTCGTATGTCATAACACACGGTATTAACATTTGATGCTCTTTTTGTCTTGCAGGTGTAAAGGGTCAAGTTTTTGATCAGAATGGAACTCCATTACCCAATGTAATTGTAGAAGTCCAAAACAGAAAACATATCTGCCCTTACAGAACCAACATATTTGGAGAGTATTATCTCCTTCTCTTGCCTGGGTCCTACATAATAAATGTAAGTATACAGCCCTAGTTATTGCTATTAAAACATTTTGGAACTTGCAGTACTTACCCAGAAGGAATCTGAAATAAGTCTGTAAAGTCCCAGAAGCAGATACATTAGGACAGAAGGAAAGGACACCATCAGATGTGGCATTTGGCAAGGAGTGAGAGGGGGTGAGAGTAATGGGAACAAACAAAAAAGATCCTGTTTTTCCCCAGCTGGCAGTGTTTTTAATAGAAGCCAAGTCCTATTTCTTTTGGTACCTTTTATGATAAAAGATGAAATGAACCTTATTAATAATGATAATTAAACAATGTAGCCAAAGTACTTCCAAGCTTCATGGAATACCATTTTAACACCCATTTCATAAAACATAATTTCTGCTATTAAGTTGATTGGTACACAGATTCCTTAGAATTCATTACAAATAAAATTTGATCCACAGACATATTTTGCAGCCCTTTCATAAGCAAATGATGGTGAGTTACAAACTATGCAAGTAAAGTTCCAGGTTTAAATCTATTAAGATGTTTGAGTCATTTCTTCCTAGAGGGAGGCTTGGACTAATTTAAGCACAAACAGGTTTATGTGAATAAATTAAATGAAGTACCTGATTTAGTTGACCAGATTGTGTCTATTCCTCTTTGATTTGACTTTCTCTAAGAAAGATTCTCCAGATTCTTCTATTTGGCTTAGTGGGTCTGATGCCAGCTGTGGCAGTCCTTCTGCACAGAATGACTCCTGGGGGAAAAAGTCATCTATTCTGTAGTAAAAACTGGCTTTGTATTTTGTAAAGGTGAAATAACGAAACACATGTTTTTCAGTTCAATTCAGAGAACTTCTGAATCCTATAGTAGGTTATCCCCACAGTACCTAGCAGTGGGGGCTCATCAACTGGTAATCTTCTTTGTAAGAATGTCTCCTAGAACCGGAAAGACCTCAATTCACTGTGAATCTTTGTCTTAAAAGGCCCTTTATATGCCTGTTACACTGACATTTCCATTCTATGATAAGGGGAGGAGAGTTCCTTGTAATGAATCTAAATTATTTTTATGTAATCCCCCAAATAAGTCACACTTATAAAGTTATGAATTGTTCATTTCCACTTAGACTAATGTAGTACCTGTTGGCTTTAGCTACTGGTTCTGGGATAAGAGTGGAAGGCAAGATTTTGGAAGCAGAAATGAATGACTAAAATATACGTTAGTGCCTAATAAATGACTTTCCCCATTCTTTCCCCTCTCTGCTGTATATAAGTATTTCTTAGTGGACATGGTTTATAGTTAGGTTAGCATTTGTCCTATTTTTTCTGATTTCTTCTACCAAAAAAGTAAATCTAGCTTAAGATTCAAACTTGTGGAGAAAACCAGGTAAAATCAAATCTTTTTGAGGAAAGAATAAACTTGTACACTTAGGTCAGCTGCAAGGAAAATGAAATTGAGAAAATTCCACTTATGAATAATCTCGTTACCCAATCAGGATATCGAGTACAGACCTGGGACAAAGGGAAACCATTAACTCTTTACCTTTGCTCTCTATAAAAATGATGGGGATACAGTCTATGGCTTTCTTCTCCTGCCTTACATCTTCAAATAAAGGATCTGGCTTTATTTCACTTTGTAATTCTTGGGACAACAGCATTAGCAACTGTGGTCCCTACCAACAGGCACTGGACAGCTCATTCAGCAAGCAGGACTGAAGCTGTTACCAGCTGGGGAGGCCCGGCAGACGGTTACACGTGTTTCATAAAGGGTACATTTTAGAAGCAGACATCCGTGTTTTTAGTGCTGGCCCCATGAAACATATGAAATCACTCAGATAATTGTTCCTTGTTTCCTCTCAGGTTACAGTCCCTGGGCATGATCCGTACCTCACAAAGGTGGTTATTCCAGAAAATTCCCAGAACTTCAGTGCTCTTAAAAAGGATATTTTACTTCCATTCCGAGGGCACCTGGATTCTCTCCTAGTATCATATCCTTCATGCTCTGAGACTCCTCTATATAGTGACTTGCCACGCGATTCAGCTGCAACAAAGCCTGGTCTGTTCTTATTTTTAGTGACTGTCTTTCACGTATTTGTCAAATAAACCAAAATGTGAAACATAACTCCCATCACCACCTGGAATCAGGGATTACTCATGCCAGGTTACTGCAACTCTCAGCTCCCTCTGTGGGACCCTGACTGAATAAACTCCACAGCCCTTCCTAAGAAGAGAAATGGTTGTTTCCAAATCACAGCAAACTATGTGTGGTGATAACAAAAGGAATGACATAGTCTTGATGAATGGAAGACGCCTACCTTTCAAGTACTGTCCACTGATGCTCAATCTTGAAGTTGTCTTAGAAAGTTGTAAGCAAAACTTGAGAATCAAGACATAAGTTGCTGCAAGAAAAAAATGGAGCTAATTTTGTATACAGAGAGCCAGATGAATATAAACAATGAAGATGAACATTCATTGATTGCTTACTATATATAAAACCTTGTAAATGCTAGATGTGAGGATATATAGTAAGTGCCAAATATGATTAATTCTCAGCACATGGAGAAATGATAGCACTGGAAATATTTCATTTCACAGATGTTCTGAGGAAATAGGAGAGAACATCGGCAAAGCTGTCTCAGTGGCCCACAAAAACAGGGCCTGATGGGATGACAAGGTTGTATCTAAAGAACCCCAAAAAAACAGGTCAGTTAAGTGTCCCTGCGTTTCTGCACTCAGATGCCCCATCAGATATGCTGATGACACCCCAATGTGTAAGTCCAGCCTCTTGCCAGAGCTTCAAACTCAAGTCCAACTTCCTGCTGTACATAACCACCTGGATATGACCCACAGGTACCTCAAACACACATAGAAATCACACATATTTTTCTCCCTAGAGCTGCTCTTCCTCCTGTATTTGTCCCAGTTACTGGTACCACCAGATTAGAAACCTGAGACTCCTTGATAGTTTCTTCTCCTCCCTCACCTCATCCCATATATTCAGTCATTAAAGATTGACGTTAATTGTAAATGTTGATGGATCTTCCCTCTCTCCATGGCTAGTAACGTTGCCAAGTTTAGGCCACCAGAGCTAACTGGCACCACTGCAACAGCTGTCCTGGTCTCTCACGCCCAGCCTTCTCTTCAGGTCCATCTTATACATGGCACTGGGGAAGACGGTCTACTCAACCATCAGTTAACTGCTTATAGTTTCTAGACACTTAATGTGCTGTTTGTGTCCTGTATCTGGAACACCATTCTGTCGTGGAACACCACGACATTTTTCTTCCCACTCCTTTAAAACTCAGGTCAGGTATCAACTCCTCCAGGAAGCCTCTGCTGACCATCATTCCATTCCACCCCACCCCATCCCATCAACCCCCTACCAGTCAATCGGGAGACCTTTCCTCTTTGCTCCTCAAATGTGTTACCTCTATTATTGAATTTACAACTGTATTCTGATCTACTTTCATGTGTGATTTTCCCTAATAGAATGTGAGCTCTGAGGCCAGTGTCTATTTGTTTGAAAAATTCATTTTTATATCCTCAGAGCCTAGTACATAGTAGAAACTGAATGAATGAGTGAAGAGTTCCACAGACCTACTCCCAGTCTCTTCTAGAAACTGTTGGACTTTGATTCATTTTGTCAGATGAGGTCCAATGCTTTGGCAATCTCCAGCTCAGTAGTAACACTGACAGAAGAGTGTTTTCAAATACATGTCAACAAATAAATTCAAGTATGGTGTTTTTACTACATTTTGCGTTTATCCTAAAGTTCATAGTAAACATATCATGTTACCTGTTAACAATACAAGCTACCTTTTTTAAATTAGAAAACAAAACTTTTACCATTAGTACTCAATTTGAAGCACCTGTTCTCCACTATCATGAGAATTAACCCATCTTAAAAACATTATATAGAAGAATTACGGAGGGAAACACCAAACCAAAATATAGCAACTCTGTAAGCAGGTGTCTAAGTGCTGTGTATTGCTCATGGAATGCAAGTTGCCTTGGTCTGTAAATTGAAAGTTCTATAGGATCTGAAAATGAAACTACACTGGGTGGGCTTGGTATGTGAATGGATGGGAGACACACGGACATTTAGGAGCTACTCCTGTGCCATCCTTATTCACATGCACACAATCATACTTGTTAATCTAAACAGAATTTGTAGTCTTTTTATCACTTATAAAATCTGGTAATAACTTGAATATCTGGATCATTTTTATTTAAATAAACAGTAATTTATTATATACTTGAAAGTATGTATTAATATTGCAGAAAATGATTTTGGTACACTACAAAGCACATAAAACTCTATTTACCGTCAAGCTTTACTTTTCAAGCAGACATTTGGAGTCTTTTTTTTTTAAATATTTTTTAATATTATTTTTAATGTTTTTTATTTATTTCTAGGAGAGAGAGAGAGAGAGAGAGCGTGAGCAGGGGAGGGTCAGAGAGAGAGGGAGTCACAGACTGAAACCGGCTCCAGGCTCTGAGCTGGCAGTCAGCACAGAGCCCGATGCAGTTTGAACCCACGAACTGCAAGATCATGACCTAAGCGAAAGTTGGACGCTTAACCGACTAAGCCACCCAGGTGCCCCGGAGTCCTAACTTTTCTAAGATCCCAATTTTCAAAGGGACATAAACCAAAATCTGATGTGGTTCATGAACCTTAATGTAAATTTCTTAAGGAAATGTTTTTAAAATCAGAAATTTTATCAAAATCCAAATTTAAAATCATTTGAAGACAAGTTAAACAATTAAAATACTCTCCAAACCAAATCTAAACCAAACCTTCAACACCGTACATTCAGGATACGTATTTTGCAGCAATGGCTCTGTGCTCAATAGTAAACTTTGTAGTGGGAGTTTAGTAGGGTTCAATCCCAGCTACACTCCCCACTAACCAAGTTAAATGTCCAAGAGGAGAAACAATCATGAAATTCCAACTGTCCTCAGACCAGAGCCCCAAATCTCCCTGAATGACACCTTCCATACGGTCCCTTAACTTTTTAGACTGGTGGTTATGTTCCCCAGGTTCTGAATTCAGGTATATTTCTTTTTATGGAGAAATCAACATGGTAAAGATTTTCGAGAGAGAAAGGAACATGGGAGTGAAATTTTAATTAGAAAGCAAGAATCCTGAATTCAAACCCACCCCACATAGATTCCTTACCTGTAAAATGAAGGTCCCTGCTTGACTGATTCTTTGACTATCAAAAGCAGTGGTACAAAGATGTCATATTTTGATGCCATTTTTGGTACTTGCCCAGGTGGAGAAAGGGTAATTAACACTAGATGACAAATATTTTGAAGGCAGTATAAAAAAAATAATTTTCTACCCACTCCCTACCTAAAGAGCTGAAACAAACAACACACACACACACACACACACACACACACACACACACCCTAAAATAGAAGTTTAGGGAAAGAGTTAAACTTCATTAGAGACTTTACAGTGTATCACTAATAAGCAGATACTCTATTGCTCACAAAACTTTAGCATATGAACTATTCCATAGCCTTTTATCAGATGTTTCACAGCTAATTTTATATTTTCTCAGTGACCATCTGTACTATAATTAAAAACTTGCGCAAATTGTCTAGGACAATAAAGTTTATTTGGTAGGGCCATGACTACCTCTGAATTCAGTAAATTTAGAATATTTCTGAATCAATAAAGAATATTCATGTAAGCAATGAATACGGTTTCTTTCCATTATGTTACCTTAAAAACAAATCTGCAAGTATAACAAAGTCCACATACTAAACAGAATGGATTACCACCAAAGCCCGAGAAAGACCAAATTTAATGAGCTTTTTATGAGGCAAGACTATTACAACTCTTCAAAACCCAGTCACTCCAGGATGGTTTATATATATGATATATACTTGTCCTATATGTTATATTCCAAATTACTTTGTACCATGGGGCAGATAGAGGAAAAATGTGCCTTGTGATTAAAAAAATAAACTGCAAAATTAACGCACATTAATATAGTAAAGGGTCTGAGAAATGCAGGAAAGAAATGGATTTTCCAAATATAGCCAGGGAACCATTTCTTGAAATAATTTAGCCTAGTACCATCCCTCTGAACTTATATTCCTCAATTACCAAACACATTTTGGGAAATGCTGGTATAAGGGGGAAGTTTCTTGTCCAGAGTAATACATTTTGTTGATTTCAAAGTGCTTTTAAAGCACAGAGTACAGTTATAAACAAAGATTTGTCTCCTATAGGAACTGGAAAATTAGTCCCTAACCCTCATCACTGTAACCCCTGATGTCGAATTTCTAACCAAGGACAGAGGCTGGACCTAAGTTTGCCCTGTGAAACATGTGAACAATAGTTTAAATGAGACATAGCTAAGTAGGAAATGGCTAATTTAGATACCAATTTCAAAGAAGTGACAAATATCTCAACTTAGAAAAAACAAAATTGGGAACAGCTTTTCAGTTTTCTAAAGAGTATTCATTATAATAGGAACCCTCTGACAGAAATTCCCTTTAATATTTTAGTGAGATTTCAGAATCTGCAGCTCCATAGAGGGGCCATTACTTCCCCCTCCCCGCAAAAGCAAGGTACAGTTTTAAAATGAACTAATTTTTAAAATGTTAGACATACGGGAAAAAGAAAAAAAGTGACCAGTCCATTTTTTGGATGGCAGAATTATGTGCTTTTGTTCTTCCTACTTCATTTTTGAAATTTTCTACTTGAAAAAACTTTTTAATGTTTATGAGAGAGAGTGTGAGTGGGGGAGGGGCAGAGAGTGAGGGAGATCCAGAATCGAAGCAGGCTCCAGGCTGTCAGCATAAAGCCTGACATGGGGCTCAAACTCATGAACTGTGAGATCAAGACCTGAGCCCGTCAGATGCTTAACCAACTGAGCCACCCAGGTGTCCCTAAATTTTTTCTATTTAGAAGTTTTCTTTTTTTAATAAGAAAAGCAGACGATTTAAACAACAGAACCTCAAATTTTAGAAGCACCAGCTTATACAGGTAATTGTTACACCTTCTTACATACTCATTAAACATTTCCAGAGTTTATGCGAAAATAACACTTGATTAGTTGAAGTCAAAGTTAATTTTAAAATGGTTTTTTCTCATTGACCAAGGACATGGGGAGTTCTGAAGGATAAACAGTGAAGGAACCAAGATGGGAAGTTTGTGTTTTAATAGAGAGCAGAACTCACTCACGTCTCTGCTCTGCAGCCCAGCAATCTCTTCCCGGAGTGCTCTGTCCACCCTGTTAGGGGTCTACCTTCCGTGAATGGACGCCTTCAGAGCTCCTGGAGCAATGCTTCCACCTGGTGGTTAGAAAAGTGCTTAACTAAAGAGATGTGGCTTTCTCAGATGCCTCTTTTAAAATTCTTTTTAATGTTTATTTATCTTTGAGAGACTGTGAGTGGGGGAGGGTCAGAGAGAGAGGGAGACACAGAATCTGAAGCAGGCTCCAGGCCCTGAGCTGTCAGCACAGAGCCTGATGCGGGGCTGGAACTCACTGGGAGATCATGACCTGAGCCGCAGTTGGACGCTTAACTGATTGAGCCACCCAGGCGCCCCCACATGCCTCTTAAAAAAGAAGGAAATAAATGTGAGAAAAGGTGGGAAAACTTTTACATAGAGGGATATTTTAAGCAAAGCTTTACCAATTCTGTCACAATTCTGATACTCTATCAACTTTTGAAGACTATGGTTTTCTCAGAAGGTTTCTTTTACCGTCGAAGTAATTTATTGCAATATTACAGACAATATTTTTTCAGGGTGTTTTTTAAAACTGTCTTTCCCCTCTTGTAAATTTGAGAAAACTACATAGCTATTTTCCTTGCCAATAAATACCCTTTACTGAATGCCTACTATGGGCGCAATGCATTATATTTGGCACCTGCAGGGAAGAGATACAAATGGATGTTACAACCTCCTTTTGGAGAGAAAGTACAAAGCAACATATTAGTAAATTTTAAGTGTGAACAAAGTACCTCACAATTGAGACAAGGTAGGGGCAAAGAAAAGATACGGTTAATTCAAGGCTACTTTAGCTTAGTTTTGTAACTGTTATGGTCATAATTGGCTACAAGAAAATTTTTATTAAAAACTACCATTTATAAATCCTTACTATCTACCAGATCCTATCCTAAGCTCTATATATTTGTCTCTAATTCTCAGGTCACAAAGCAAGCAAGTACCAGATCTGCTATTTGAATTTAGCCCTTCCCACTCAACTAGGATAAAAATAACTCATGAGAGAGGATGGAAATGAACTTTTGCACCAAAAGGGTTTAAAACAATGGTGGTAAAGAGAAAGTTGTTTCACAGATAAGTCTAAAAGTTTAAAATGAACATGCAGTACATTTAATATCCAATAAAAAATAGAACTTTTTTTTTTCTGTATTCAAATCAGGGAACCAACATGAAGCTATCTGTACATATCTATAAAGGCACCAAATATGGGGGAGACCAAAGCCAGTGAAGTCAACTTGGAAGGCCTAATAATAAATAAATTATAAGCTGGAAAGGTGTGAACTAAAATTAACAATAAAAGTACTAAAATTTAACTGAGAAATACTTCTATGGAACTCCTCTAACACGATAGTAACAATAGAAAGGATTGAAATTTTGCAATTCGGAATGTGAAAGATCTTGTAATAAGTTGACTTTCAGTTGTTAGGACAACTCGATAGTCATATTCTGAAGGCAGATCTGTGGGACTGAAACAAGATGAGAGGAAAATGTTGATCAATTTTTTTATTTTTACAAAATTTTTAAATGTCTATTTTTGAGAGCACATGTGGGGGAGGTGCGGGAGGAGGGGGCGGACCAAGGACATGAAGTGCACTCCCTCCATGCTGACATTAGAGAGCCAGATGCCGGGGGGGGGGGGGGGGGGGGGGGGGGGGGGGGTTGAACTCCTGAACTGCGAGATTCTGACCCGAGCCAAATTCAGATGCTCAACTGAGCCATCCAGGCGTCCCTATCAAATTTTAAAAACATGAATCTTTAAAGAGCTTTAAAAGACAGCAGTAAAAATTCAAGTATGTTTTAGGATCATCTCTCTCCTAAAAGTAATCTATTGTGGTTCCCTTATCCAAAATATTATTCTCTGTTACCTATAATAAACTACTGACCATGTGAGATCTCTCTGCTTGTCACTGGAGACTGCTCTTGTTCTGTTTACTGTTTTTATTTAGTTCATCTTAATGATCCAGTTCATAATTAAACGTATTCAACACTTCTGCACTAAACTATTTATCTTCTTAAGGCTTCTAAATGTCTAAAATATTTAGTGCTACTGCACTAAAATATTTATCTTCTTAAAGCAGTATTTGTAAATGTCAAAAATTTCTTACTATATATGGCTCTATGATAGATAATATGGCCAAAAACTTTTAAGCAGGTGGTATTTTAAGATAAACACTTTTGGGGCGCCTGGGTGGCTCAGTCAGTTAAGCATCCAACTTCAGCTCAGGTCATGATCTCACGGTTTGTGGGTTTGAGCCCCGCATCGGGCTCTGTGCTGACAGCCAGGTCAGAGCCTGGAGCCTGTTTCAAATTCTGTATCTCCCTCTCTCTGACCTCCCCTGCTCACGTGGTCTCTCTCAGAATTAAAAAAAAAAAAAAAATTAAGACAAACACTTGTTAAGATGAAATCAAACCCGTTCAAAACTCAAACAATGAGCAAGTGCAACTTGTCACAATGCCATGACCACTTCGTTATCACCGTAAACCAACAGCCATCTACACACTGATGAGTATCTTTAAAACACTCATTAAAAATCAAAATGAACAAAAGGGGCACCTGGGTTGCTCAGCTGGTTAAGCATCTGACTCTTGATTTCAGCTCAGATGATGAGCTCACGATTTGTGGGTTCAAGCCCCGCATCGGGCTCCACACTGAGAGCTTGGATTCTCTCTGCCTCTCCCCCACATGCAGGTGGGCTCACACTCTTTTCAAAATATAAACACTAAAAATTAAAAAGTCCACATAATAACAGCTTACCCTGGTCTGGCTTTGGAGTCCATGGGACTCCAGCTTTACAAGACAGATCCCAATGATTTGATTCCCTCAAATTCTTATTGAGCACCTGTATATCTGTGTCACAATCAAGAAGACGTTCTCGGCCTCATGGAATGTAGTTTCAGAAATGATGTAGAGAAATTACAGGCAATTACAAGCAGCTTTTCAGGCTGACAGGTAGCAAGGTGGTTAGCCCTAACTCCCTCCCAGCCCCAGCTACACCCCTTCCACAACATTCACCAACACATGTTGAGAAACCACTTGAGCCAACCTGCCATGTGGTAACACAAGTGAACAGGAGGGAGAAAACAGCATTTCACGGCCCTACTAAACTATGTAACCTCATTCTCTCAGGTTAGGTCTTATTTGATGCCTTGGATGCCCCCAACTACATCAAGCTGTCCATTAATGTGTGTACTGACACAATGGGCAGTCATGGCCATTACAAACACAGAAGCACATTGACTTGTCCCTTTGATTACCCAAAGAGATTGATATTCAAGTAAAATTTCTATTTTAACAAAGCTCATTATTACAGAGAAATTGTTAAGATCCAATAATCACACTCTTGAAACAATGCTTAATCAAACATTTAATATTTTTATTTGTAAATCAATAAATAATATTGTATACTAAACCTAAAAATTTAGACAATTCAATGGATAGGCATGGTAAATGAAACTATCTGCAGATTTGAATGTTTTCTAAGTAGCATAATCACTGCATTTCATACCCTAAATGTACATAACTTCCATTTAAATGTTTTCATTTAAAAAATCAGATCCTTCTCTAAATTTTAAGTGGGGATCATTTAAAACATGAGGAGTAGGGGGGTTAAAGATGACCTACATATTGAACTTGAATTACATTAAAATCCAAATATAGAATATAAACAGAAGTGAAATTTTTCTAAAAGGAAGTACTTACTATTCCCATTCCCAAAGTAAATTATACTACAGAGAAGAAATAAATCTACATGTATGGAGACCCTTTCTCACTTTGATATGTGTAAAAAAAATAATTTCATGTTGTCTAAATTTTTAGGGTTATATAGTTAGAAATATAGAATTCTACTCTTATAGACATGTCCACTAGGGGAAATAAGTTAGCACAATCATTTGAATTGGTTGTCTACATACTGGACAGGGCTTATTCCTCTTCTTTAGCTTTTTTGCACATGTAAAGCATGCCATAAGGTGTCCAGTTTTGCCATGAACAATGCAACCATTTTTAGGTCGACCCTGGCAAATTACACAAGGTTCAATGGCATTAAGGGGAAAACTAGATTCCACGATTTCTTCTTTGTCTTGTGTTTCTTCCCTCTCAAACTCTTTGACATCTTCTTGGCTGCTATAAATGATGCTGTTAGAAGTTGATGGCTGAGAATAGTCCTCACTTTCTTGGGACTGGGAGGCCTGTGTGATTTTATCATCATTTTCCTCAGCACATGATTCCCTGGAATCATTCACCATAGTTTTTTTACAATCAGGGACATCAAAGCCCTCTTCTACTTGGGTTGAGTTTTCTACTTTGGCTTCCTCAGGCATTTTCCCTTTATCTTTCCCTTTATCTTCAGGAAGCCAATTCTCACGAAGGGCCCAACATCTGTTGCAATGAGGTGGAAGAGGAGGATTCATTTCATTGCACGAAGTACACTTCCAATAGTCCTTCAATGAAAAAAGAATTAGTTTTTGTAACCCTTTAACAACTACTCATATCCAACTCTAGCAACTTCAAGATGTCTGAAATAAAATCTATCAGAGTTCAGTTTTCAGCATTTTTATATAAAACATTCAACATGTAACAATCTTCCCTTAAGCATGAGATTGTAACAACACACATAAAGTATCTATTTTTTTTTCAGCCAAACCATGCTGAAGAATCTTAAAACAAAATGTATTCACCATGATCTTAATCATGTACCAATAAAGTTATCTGCGGGCACAGATACAGCTGGTTCATCTAGTTGAAGCAAGTGTAATGTGGTCTTTTACTCTGAAATGAGGCCTGTACCCACTTCACTCTCTTAAAGGTATGTCCCAGGTCCACCCAATCAATCTAGACAAAACCACTGCCCAATGAGCCATTGACTAAGACTCCCTTGGAAGTGCTCTAAAACCAGGGCTCAACGGAGTTTCCCTAATTTCATCCACAAAGGAAATGCTAAAACATTCTCAGCAATCACGCCCACCTAAAATCTGTCATCCTTGTCACTATCCAAATGTATGCCCCTTACTTAACTATACTTTCCTGTGTTCTCCCCTCTGTAACTGCTTATTGCTTCTCCCATACCTCAACTTATTTCCCAACCTTTCTATCACCATGCAATTTGGATAACAAACCGCTTTCCATCCCCCAGGCTCTTTTAATGAATACATCCTTATCCCCTTACCTTAACTGAAGCATGGTTCTTGCCTGAGGACAACATACATGTAAAATTTTCCATGAATAATATCACCATTTTTTTAATACTGTGTATTTACTTGTGTGTGTGTAGGGGGCGGGGAGGAGTGCAGAGAGACAGGGAGAAAGGGCTCCATGCTGTCAGTACAGAGCACCTCGGAGCCCAACAAGGGGCTCGAGCTCACGAACTGTGAGATCATGACCTGAGCTGAAATCAAGAGTCAGATGCTAAACTGATGGAGTCATGCAGGTGCCCCAATATAACCACTTTTAAGATGCCTCACAAATGCCTAAGTATCAGCAGTAGGGATGGAAACTGTTCACTTTCCCACATTAGTTCAAGTTCTCAATGTAGGTTGCTACCCAACTGATAAAACCAAAGACAAAAGTTGTATAATATGTGGGAGAAAGTGCTTCAAAGAGCTTATAAACCGCAGGATCTATGTCTGGCATAAAGTAAGTCAATTACTTACTCAAATTATTAATAATAATATTTAAATTTTAAATTTAAAAAATTATTTAAAAAATAAAAATGAAAAAAATTTTTTTAATAAATTGATTTATTCTTGAGAGAGACAGAGCATGAGCAGGGGAGGGGCAGAGAGAGAGGGAGACACAGAATCCAAAGCAGGCTCCAGGCTCTGACCTATCTGTCAGCACAGAGTCCAACGCAGGGCTCGAACCCATGAACCATGAGATCATGACCTGAAGTCGGACGCTCAACAAACTGAGCCACCCAGGCGCCCCTCAAATTATTTTCTATTATAGCAAAAAATATATTTTTTTAATTTTACAATTTCACCTTTTTTGCATTTAGATAATTGTTTCCAACTCAGCAAAGAAACATGAGATTTCCTATTCAAATACAACTAAGGTATTATTAAGAACAAAATGGGGGGCACTTGGGTGACTCAGTCAGTTAGGTGTCCAATTCTTGACTTCAACTCAGGTCATGATCTCACAGTACATGAGTTCAAGCCACATATAAGGCCCTGAAGTGGCAATGCAGAGCCTGTACGAGATTCTCTCCATCTCTCTGCCTCTCCTCCTGTTTGTGCTCTCAAACATTAAAAAAAAATTTTTTTTTGGTTTATTTATTTTCGAGACAGAGGGAGACAAAGCACAAGTGGGGGGAGGGGAAGAGAGAGAGAGAGATACAGAATCTGAAATAGGCTCCAGGCTCTGAGCTGCCAGCACAGAACCCGATATGGGGCTTGAACCCACAGACCGTGAGATCATGACCTGAGGTGAAGTCAGACACTTACCTGACTGAGTCACCCAGGCGCCCTCAAAATAAACATTTAAAAAAAAAGGAAATTAGGGGCGCCTGGGTGGCTTAGTCGGTTAAGCGTCCGACTTTCGCTTAGGTCATGATCTCGCGGTTCATAGGTTCGAGCCCCGCGTCGGGCTCTGTGCTGACTGCCAGCTCGGAGCCTGGAGCCTGTTTCAGAGTCTGTGACTCCCTCTCTCTCTGACCCTCCCCTCCTCACGCCGTCTCTCTCGCTCTCTCTCCCCTAGAAATAAATAAAACATTAAAAAAAAAAAAAAAAAAAGGAAATTAAAGCAGGGCATCTGAGTGGTTCTGTCGGTTAAGCAGCTGATTCTCTTGATTTCAGCTCAGGTCATGATCTCACAGTTCATGAGATTGAGCCCTGCATCACGCTGTGCAGTAACAGTGCAGAGCCTGCTTGAGATTCTCTCTCCCCTCCTTCCCTGCACCCCTTCTCTAAATAAACAAACAAACATTAAAAAAAATTAGTTTTAGTATGCAATAAAAAACCCAACTTCCAATACAGGAACCCTACGAAGCATGAAATGTAAATGTCCTGAATTCTTAAATGGCAAATCCTACCTACCACATTCTCTAGTACAGATCAACATGATGGGCAAAATGTTTCTAACTATTAAAGCTGGGTGATAACTACACTAGAAATACATTATACTAATCTCTATGCTGTGTAAACTTGAAGTTTTCAATAAAAAAATTCTTTCAAAGTTCAAATCCTAGCAGACACAAAAAAAACCCTAAAAAATGTAGTAATGGGTGCCTGAGTGGCTCAGTCAGTTTAGCGTCCGACTTCGGCTCAGGTCATGATCTCACGGTTCAAGGGTTCAAGCCCCGCATCAGGCTCTGTGCTGAATGCTTGCTCAGAGCCTGGAGCCTGCTTCAGATTCTGTGTCTCCTTCTCTCTGTGCCCCTCCCCAACTCATGCTCTTACTCTCTCAAAAATAAATAAATGTAAAAAAAAAATTTTTTAATGTAGTTAACAGATTCTAAAACAACAAAAGAACAATATTTTTAAACTTTTAAACTTTCAAAACTTTAAAACTTTTAAAAAAAAGATTTTAGCTTTATAGAAATTACCTCATGTCAGGAAGTAGACTAGACATATTTTTCTAACATTAACCTCAATATTTTGATTCCTTAAAAACACAGATGTATACTTACAGCTAAGGAAATTTCAGGATCTTCTTCAAATGAATCTGTATCACTCTCCCCTGCCTGATACACAGTTACTCGATACACCTAATAAAATAAATCCATCAGCATCAATTTATCACTTTTCCTTAACCAAGAAGGCTTCTTAGTGATAAGTCCTAAACAAACAGCATGTACCACTATAGAGGAGAAATTGAGAGGCAGAGGTGGAATGGAATAGAGGGTGGGAAAATGGAGGGGCATGAAATCCTCACCCACTATGGTAAAAAGGCAACAGACAGGATGTTTATAATGAATAAGGCAAAAACTTCAGTATAAGCATTTTTATTTTATAAATACGGGGATATTAAATAACTGAATCAGCCAAAAATGTTGGAGGTGGTTGCCTCCAGTGACTTTAACTGTGTGCATACTTTACTTTTATAAAAAGTAGGGATGCCTAGGTGACTCGGTTAAGAGTCTGACTTGGGCTCAGGTCATGATCTCACAGTTCATGAGTTCAAGCCCCGCATCAGGCTCTGTGCGGACAGCTCAGAGCTTGGAGCCTGCTTCGGATTTTGTGTCTCCCTCTCTCTGCCCTAGTCATGCTTGCATTCTGTCTCTCAAAAAAATAAACATTAAAAAAAATTATTTTAAGTAAATTAATATTAAAAGAAGGAAATTTTTAAAATTTAACTTCATTTAAGTAAACTCTACCCTAAAACGTGGGGCTCGAACTCATGATCCAAAGATCAAGAGTCACATGCTCCACCCACTGAGCCAGCCAGGCATCCCAAAGAGAGGAATTTTTTTTAAATAAGACTATTAGAACAATGTTCATTAAGAACTATTGACTTCTTTGACATTTATACTTACAAGACTATAAATCATACAACTACAAAGCCTGAAGTCCACAAAATATTCTAGTTTGAACAAAGTCAAAGATTAAGTGAAATCAGAATACATTATTATTTTAAATATCATCAATGAATACAGAAAATATTTAAGAAATTCAGACTATAGGGTGGGGGAGAGGGGAAGGGAGGAGATGGGCATGGAAGAGGGCACTTGTTGGGATGAGCACTGGGTGTTATATGGAAACCAACATGACAATAAAATATTTAAGAAAAAAAAGAAGAAATTCAGACTATAATTAGAGAAATAAAACTACCTCATCATCTTCATCTGAGAGTTCTTGTCCTTCTTCACTAAGGCTATAATCTTCTGAATCGAGAGACTCAACTTCAAATTCTACACTGAATTGATCTGAAACTGAATCCTGATCCAACCAGTCACCTGAATGTTCACTTACACCAGCATCAAGATCCTAAAACCGGGGGGAGAAAAAAAGTTACTTAAAGTAATTACCTGTTGGCCTCTGTACAGCTTCCTAACTCATCCCTGCAGTCCTATTTCCTCCTTAGAGCCATCCTGCACAATGAGGCTAGATTAAGATTCTGGGTTATTACTATATTATTTTCCAGTTCAAAACCCCATTACATAAAGGAAAAAGGCCAAATCCCCTTGGCATTCAAGGAACACATAGTAGGGCCATATTAACATTTTCATCTTATCTCCCAACTAGACACTGCTTCCCCCATCCTCAATATGAACAATCGGCCAGATGTACATTTTTTCCTAAACCAAGCCTGGCAGCCTGACTTCCTACACTTTCTCTCTCTCACTGGAATAATTTAACAGTTTTTAAGTCCTACTCATCCATTTTTGATAAAGCCTATGTCAATACAAATACTTCTACTTTTAATTATCTTTACTACAAACATATTGAATATAATGTGTTTTAACACATAAAATTATACAAAACAGTTTTCTATACGTTTCTTATATGAATTATACATACTTTAAGAGTTAAAAGGATGTCTTAATCTCTTTAGAGCTTCAGATTGGTAGAATACTAGTAGCTACAACCCACACAGCAATTATGAGATTTTAAAATTTTGTGGTTTTTTTAGTGAACTTTGATAATAATTTCTTTGGAAGAGCTTTCAGACATAACTTTTTAAATATATTTTAAAAATTCTTAATCAGCTCATGTGGTATCTCATTTTATAGAAGAACCCCAATATGACCATCAGTCGCATAGTATTTGCTGTCAGTTGCTAAGAACAGGAATATATACAAAAGGCTAGAAAAACATTGGTCTAAGAATCAGTATACAAACATTCTCTTTTTTTAATGTTTGTTTATTTGTTTTTGAAGACAGAAAGAGAGAGAGAGCAGGGAAGGGGCAGAAAGCAAGACAGAGAATCCCAAGCAGGCTGCACACTGTCAGTGCAGAGCCTGATGTGGAGCTCGAACTCACAAACTGTGAGATCATGAGACCTGAGGTAAAACCAAGAGTCAGACCCTTTACCAACTGAGCCACTCAGGCGCCTCAGGATACATTCTTCCTCTAGATTTGCCACTAAATACCTATTTAACCTTGGGCATATTTAAAGCCATGAAGTAGCCAGAGCTACTTCATCTATGAGAGTCTGAATTAAATGAGGTCAAAAGACTTTTTTACAGTGATGCTAGGATAGTAGTAAAAGCAATACTGACAAGTTGCAGTTCTAATTCTTAACAAGGACTCCATTAACATTCAGGTTAAAATCACATCTGGGGCACCTGGGTGGCTCAGTCAGTTGGGTGTCCGACTTTGGCTCAGGTCATGATCTCATGGCTCCTGAGTTCAAGCCTCGCATCAGGCTCTGTACTGACAGCTCAGAGCCTGGGGTCTGCTTCGGATTCTGTGTCTCCCTCTCTCTCTGTCCCTCTCCTGCCCATGCTCTATCTCTCTCCTTCAAAAATAAAAAAAAAAAAAACATTAAAAAATTTTTTTAAATGTAATAAGATTACATATAAAGCTAGAATACAATCTCTAATAAAGTAACCTAGCAAACTGTATATACTTCAATTAACTAGCATTTAGTGTGTGAAGTTTAAATTTTTTTTAATGTTTATTTTAGAGGGGTCGGGGCAGAAAGAGAGAGACACACACACAGACTCTGAAGCAGGCCTCAGGCTCTGGGCTGTCAGCACAGAGCCCGATGCGGAACTTGAACTTACAAACTGCGAGATGATCTAAGCTAAAATCAGAAGCTTAACCAACTGAGCCACCCAGGAGCCCCTAGTGCATGAAGTTTAGAATATGGGGACACATCACAAAAAAAGATGAAAGTTTCAGCAAGCATCTTCTATGGTATGGATTGACAAAGTACGGCCCACCATCCATCTGTTTTTATAAATAAAGTTTTACTGAACACAGCCATGGCCATTTTGTTTTCCCAAGACAATTTCTGTTTCCAACCTGAGACAATTATTAGTTATAGAAGCTTAAACAAGTTATTTGAAACTCTCAAGCTTATCTTTCCCATCTAAAAATGGAATGTAAGTGCTTCAGATTCTGTGTCTCCCTCTCTCTGCTCCTCCCTCACTCACGCTCTGTCTCTCAAAAATAAACAAATGTTAAAAAAAAAAAAAAGGTTTTTTTTAAGTTTTATAAATGAGATGTGAGGCTGCTGAGTTGGTACCGTGTAAACTGCCTAGTATAGAGCCTAGAATACAGCCTTAGTTCCTCAATTTATTAAACCCAAAAGAAAAAAACATGGAAAGCAAATGCACTTTCCTTTAACTGCCTTCACAACCAGGTGAATAATGACACCAGATGAGGACTAACCATCCTCATATTAGGTAGGCTAAAATGAAGGAAAAACTCTGCCCTACCCAAAAAGCTTTCACAAGTAGGAACTCAGCCTGCAAAACAGTAGATTTCTAATAGAATTTTTAGAAGAGAATACAGGATAGGCTAACAAAAAGAAAAAAGAACCCTCTGTTGCTTTGATAACAAGGCAGTGTTCCAAGGTAGAAAGCAAAAACAAGGACTTCAAATATCATTTAACTAAAATTCTGAAACAACTTTAACAAAGTCTGTAAGTTTAATGGGGCATAGTTCTATTTAACTCATTTGTAAAGAATAAAATTACCCAAACATGAAGTCTGTGTACATGTTAAGCTTTAGTTGGTTTCAATTTTCAGATTACATATATTTGCTCTCAAGTACCTGTATTTTATTTTTCCACGGCATTTGGGGTTGCTGTTTTTTTTTTTTTTTTTTTAAGACATTTTCTTTTTTCTTTTTTTAATTTTTTAATGTTTATTTATTTTTGAGAGAGGGAAAGGGAGACAGAGCACGAGCAGGGGAGGGGCAGAGAACGAGGGAGACACAGAATCCGAAGCAGGCTCCAGGCTCTGAGCTAGCTGTCAGTACAGAGCCCGATATGGAGCTCAAACCCACAAATTGTGAGATCATGACCTGAGCCAAAGTCAGACGCTTAACCAACTGAGCTACCCAGGCGCCCTTCCACAGCATTTGTTAAATGTCTTAATTATCTGTTTAAGTGTTGATGATGTGTCTCCCATTGAGGGCAGGAACCATATCTATATCTACCTTGGCTATCCCTAGAGGGTCAAACAGAACCTGGCACAGAAAACACTTAAGATGCCTACTGAGTGAAGAACTTGCTCTATATGCCATCTAGTGGCCTACAGAAGCAACAGCTCTATTAAATACGAAGTCTACAGGGTACATCTGTATCCATAAAAATCAATGCTTTGGAAGAGAAAAAAAAGATAATGTAAAAAGTTACAACAATACAGAAAAAGAATTGGGTTACTATGACAACTGATTCAGTCCCTTATACCTTCTAGGAAACTACAAAATGAACACTAATATCCAGAATAATGACCATGAGATACTGCTGTATCACAAATAAAAGTTCCAATTTTAGTTAATATTTTAAAGACAAATGTTTAATGACAAGAAAGAAAATATTCCATTTGTCAGGCATTCTTGTTAGCAAAACCTTTTTTAACCAAACTTCTTTCAATGACCTCTCTTAAGAATTTTATTCCTAATTCTTTAGAATTTTGTATCAATAATCAAAATTACTGAAACTCTCCTACCATCCCTGCAGGAACATGCCTCTATCTCACAGCCTTCCTAAACACACCTTTCCTGATACCTGGGCCTATGTCCAGCTCAGTGTGCAGCTTAGGCTATGCTGACTTGTCTGCTGATAGCTACAAGAAAGATACTGTTATTCTAAATGTTCAAAACAAATTTGCCTTAGATTCTAAGACCTAACTGAACCAAATTTTTTTTCATTCCATTATTTTTTAAAAAATAAAACTAGGGGCGCCTGGATGGCTTAGTCGGTTAAGCATCCGACTTTCGCTTAGGTCATGATCTCGCGGTTCGTGGGTTCGAGCCCCGCGTCGGGCTCTGTGCTGACTGCCAGCCCAGAGCCTGAAGCCTGTTTCAGAGTCTGTGACTCCCTCTCTCTCTGACCCTCCCCTGCTCACGCTGTCTCTCTCTCTCTCCTAGAAATAAATAAAAAACATTTAAAATAAATAAATAAATAAATAAATAAATAAATAAATAAATCTAAAAATCCTCAGGCCAATCCAATTTCTGTGAATTTACTACTGGTGCATAGCCCACAAAGATTCTCCACTATGGAGGAAGACATTAATAACTATTAATACTGGTGCTAATTTTATCATCACACCCCACAGCTGCACTATCTCCCACCCTTCTCCCAAATCTGGGGTTGGGGATAGAGAAGATTTATATAGTAATTTAATCTGACAGAAAAATTTACCACTGTGTATGTAACAGCAACTGCATATATGTGCATTCTATCCAAATGTTTACTAGGACAGAACCAGACTTTAAAAATAAGAGTCTTGTTTTACTTAAAATTAAAAGATTACCGGATTTGATGGAGTCCCTGTTGATTCGCTGCTACTGCTTCTTTCACAACATATCTCCCTTATTACACACAGAGCAAGGCTTTCATCAAAGGAAAGGGAAATACTATCAGATTTGTGGCGCTTTCTCTGCCGTTCACCAGGTAATTCATCTGAATGTTCTTCTGGATGTGTAAGGAAAAACAAGTCAATTAAAACCCAACACTGTGATTTATTTAGCAAATGAGCTGCCTCGAGTACCTATTTGTACCAAAATTTAACCTCAATGAAATTAAACGAGAAAATAGTCAATTATTACTGTTTCAAAAGTTAACACTTTATTGAATCTGTCCAACTGAGAGCTACAACAGAACAAGTATTTTTTTTTAAGGAAGTCCTACACCAAACATGGGGCTTAAACTCATGACACCAAGATCAAGAGTCACATGCTCAGGCACCCCCAGAACACTGTGTTTGTTAAAAGTTTTTCAAGCTTCTGAACTGCCTGGCTCAGTCAGTATGGGACTCTTGATCCTGGGGTCGTTGAGTCTGAGCCCTACGTTGGGTGTAGAGATTACTTAACACACATATAAGCTTTTCTTTTCAGGGGGGCTTGGGTGGCTCAGTTGGTTAAGCATCTGACTTGACTTCGACTCAGGTCCTGACCTCTCGGTCATGAGATGAGTTCTATGTCCACCTCTGTGCAGACAGTGTGGAGCCTGCTTAAGATTCTCTCTCTCCGCCCCTACCCTGTTCATGCTCTCTCTCTCAAAATAAAAGCTTTTCAAGCTTCTTTCAAAACTTCATCTCCTTAAGTCACAATTAATTTAATCCATCTAGAACTTTCACTGACCAATCTAAAATTCTTCTGTCAAAATCACACTTTAGAATGTAAGATTTCATTTTGTTTCTAAAAAGAGCCAAAAATGTTTACTTAGAAGGTATTCTTAACATTTCAATTCCCTCAGTACTATTTTCAATAGTAATCAAAATTTTATCTTAAATAATAAATTACTTCTGACTTTAAGTCAGAATGTTACCAAATCTTTCAGGTACTTGAATGAGTCTTCCCATGTATCAGATTTAAAAATAAATTCCAAGTGAATTAAAAAGCCACACACAAAGAACAAAACTATCATTAAGAGAATATTCTTATAATTCTGGGATAAGGAAGTGTGACAGAACACTGAAAAGGCCTCAAGAAAAAATTTGTCAAGTGGTGCCTGGGTGGCTCAGTCGGTTAAGCATCCGACTTCAGCTCAGGTCATGATTTCACGTCAGGCTCCATGCTCACAGCTCAGTGACTGGAGTCTGCTTCGAATTCTGTGTCTCCTGCTCTCTCTCTGCCCCTCCCCCACTCATGCTCTGGCTCTCTCTCTCTCTCTCAAAAATAAACATTAAAAAAAATTAAAAACAAGAAACAAAACAAAAAAACCCAGAAGTCAAAGATATGAAAAGGCAATTCACATAATACAAATGACTAATAAATATATGAAAACACCCCCTACCTCCTGATCAAAGGCATATAAATTAAAACAAGATACCATTTTCACTCCCAAGAACGACAAAAATTAAAATGAGAGTCTCGAGATTTGAGAGAAAGGATATTTTTATATACTGTTGGAAGAAATGTAAAATAATACAACATTTTGTGGGCAATCTCTATCCTAGAGAAATACTTGCATACTTAAGGATGTATGTGGAAAAGATGTTCACCTCAGCCTTTTAGTTAAGTTCTAAATAGGGTTACAGGATTAAACAAAACATAATCCATGTACCTGAAACAGGTACAACTCGCACCTTTGCTCACTCCATTTCCTTCTCTTGACCTTCCTAGTCAAAGTCATCTTATTCCTCTGAATTCCCCACTCTTATATCCTATACTTTAAGTAATTCTGTGTTGATTGCTCCACAACTAGATCACAAGTTCTTGATGTAAGTTCTTAATCATGTTTGTATTCCCTATAAAAGGTGATCATGGTTGAATAATGTGTGCTAGAAGCCTCTAAAACCACACCAACTGATTCTTATTGTTTACCTCCATTAAAAATAACATTTAGGAGGTGCCTGGATGGCTCAATCGGTTAAGTGTCTGACTTCAGCTCACATCATGACCTCATGTCTTGTGGGTTTGAGCCCCTGTACGAACAGCTCAGAGCCTATTCTGTGTCTCACTCTCTCTGCCCCTACGCCACTCACATTCTGTCTCTCTCTCTCAAAAATAAACGAACATGAAAAAAAGTAACATTTGGGGCTTTTTTCTATTAAAGTATATTACTCGTTATAGAAATCTTAAAAAAAAAAGAAAAATTTTAAAATGTAAAGCATCTGTTGCATTACCCTTGAGAAGTAACTACTATTAACATTTTGGTGTAACAGTTTTCCAGCTTTTATTTCCTTTTATTTACTTTTTTTAAGTATTTATTTTTGAGAAAGGGAGAGAATACAAGCAGGGGAGGAACAGAGAGAGGGGACAGAGGATCCAAATCAGGCTCTCCACTGACACCAGAGAGCCCAATGCGGAGCTCAAACTCACAAGCCATGAGATCATGACCTGAGACAAATGCAGATGCTGTTTAGCCAACTGAGCCACTGAGGCGCCCCTGTTTATTTCCTCTTAAAAAACATATTTTAATCATACTATATGTACAGTTTGGGGGTGGTTTGCTTTTAAATTTTCTTTTACATTATTTTTAATGGCTGCAGAATATGGTGTCCATGACATAGATTTATATACTGCTCATAAAACTGAACTATATAGTCCACAAATCTGAGCACCTGCTTACTGTTTGGCATTGTGCTAGGCAGTGGGTATGCAAAAGTGAAGTCAGTTATCATCCTTGTCACCAGAGGAAGTTTAATTTCAAATACCCACGCAACTGAAACATAATTATTTACCAGCTATAATGAGTGGTATGAGAAAACAAGCAAAGGGCTAAAGAAAAGAAAATCTGCTTTTGTGGTTGGTTAAGAGAAAGGCTCTCTGAGAATGTTTCAGCAAAAACAGAAAACTGAGGAGCTGGCCTTGTCAGGCTGAGGTAGAAAAAGTGCTGGCAGGAAAAAACCAACAAAAACAAACGTGTGCCAACAACCTTAAGTTAGGAAAGAGTTTTGACTTGAGGAACCAAGTAATCAGTACAATGGAAACAATAAAGGTGGGAGGAAAAGGCCGAAAACCAAGTTGCAGGTAGATCATGGCCTTATAGGCCAAGTTAAAAAGCATGGGTTTTATTTGAAATAACCAAAGTAGCTAAGTGGGGAAGTGATGCAATCCAATTTACCTTTCACCATCTCCTCTGGTACTGTGTGAAGAGACACAATTGTAAAAAAAATCAGAAAGCTGTTGCTGTGGTCCAGAGACCAGAGGGCAATGGCCTGAACTAGAGTGATGACATTTTCTACCATATGTCTTCATTTATAAATACTGCTGTAATTAGTATCTCTAAATATATGTTATCTTTGAATTTCCATATCTCTATTTGTAAAAGTAGAGTTATGGGGATAATGGTAAGAACGCCAAGCCTTTTAGTAATCCATAAAGTTTTAAGTTGGTGTTAAACTACTGTACACCAATAGCACATCAGTGCCAATATACGTTAAAGAGGAGTAAAAAAATATCTTATTTTTGTAGCTAGAAAAGATGCCTTTTTGCATTTTTTATGGTCTATAAAGCTAACTCGCAAAAACCCACGCCCTCCTTCCTCATATTTATTAGTCATTTGTATTTACTATGAAAAACTTGGTTTTTGCCATTTTTGCTATTTGGATTTTTAATATTTTTATATCAATTTTGGGGAACTTTTCATGTAATAAGGGTATTGACACCATCAAGTTTAAAGTGAATATCCTTCAAATATAATTTTTTCATTTATCTTTTAAACTCATTTAGAATTCACTTTGGCTATGGTATAGACAGAATTTGTCCTTTCTTCCCCAAATAACTAGCCACTTGCTCTAGTCCCATGCAGTTAACAAAACATCCTCTGCCCTTACTGCCCTCTGCTCTCATGTGCATAATTCTAGTCTGGGTTTATCTAATCTCACTGATCTGCTGAACTCTTCTTTCACCTGAATCATACAGTTTTAGTTATGGACTTTTGATCAGACAACAGCCTCCTCCTCATCTTCTCTATAAAAATGTCCTCAGCTATTTTTTTTTTGATCACATCTTCATTTCTAAGATGTTATTTACTTTGTTTTTAAACTCACTGGTATGTTTCATCACTTATTAAAACGACAAATATTTTAACTGCTAAGGTAACAAAGAATAATGACTAAAATACATCTTATATACTTGTCCTCTATTATCCTGAATAAGAGAGCTGGCTAACTATAAACTCCAGTGGGGCCCAAAAAACTTACAGTCAACCAGAAAAATATTGCTAAGAAAGCAACTTTTAAATAAATCATCTAAGAATGAAAGAAACCCAGAAATTCATTCATCTAAGGCAAAAAAGGCACAATTTCATTAAGCTTAAATGCATTAACTTCATTAGAGACCAAACATTAAAAAGCTGTCTGAAAGTGCCAATTAACCATATATACCTGTCTCACTAATTGTTCTCCTTCTAGATGAGGTAGATGGTCTGGAAACCAAATCTGAAGATGAAGGTTTCTCTTCCTGCAACTCTTGCACAGGTTCCTAAGCATGCAAGGGGGGAAAGAAACAAAAACTTAACTTGTAACACCAGGGAGCTAAAAATTATTTAACATAACCTAACTTTCAAGAAACATCATACTAGAATGCATTCATTTCAAGATTACCTTTTGATCACTCCCACCTTCAAGGTGACACCTATTTTCACTCACAGATGTGCCTGAATTTGATGGTTCTGATGGGGGAAAAAAAACAACAACAACAACAAAGAATCACAAACTAGAAAAGAAACTAGTCTGTCAGTCCAGGAAAAACTCCTTACACAATTTAACCTTTCAACAAACGTTAAATGTGTGTCTCCCAGGTGCCAACCCCATGCTAGATGCTAAATGAGGATTCAATTTAATTTTTAAAAAATTTTTTTAATGTTTATTAATTTTTGAGACAGAGAGAGACAGAGCACGAGACGGGGAGGGGCAGAGAGAGAGAGAGGGAGACACAGAATCTGAAACAGGATCCAGGCTCTGAGCTATCAGCACAGAGCCCGATTTGGGGCTCGAACCCACGGACCACAAGATCATGACTGGAGCCGAAGTTGGATGCTTAACCAACTGAGCCACCCAGGCGTCCCGAGGATTCAATTTTAATACAGAGAACACATTAAGAATAATGAAAGTGAAGAAGACAGAGCAATGATTGTATGGTAGGGACACAGCAAGGTCTGAGAAACAAGGAGTCAGGAAAGGTTCCATAAAATATAAAGTAGGACTAAGAAAAGCTATTCCAGGCCAAGGGAACACCTCGTGAAAAAAACATCCAGAAGTGAATTGCCAATACTTGTTGCAGGGAACTACAGGTAGTTAATTATTACTAGAATATAAGCAGGATCTTAAAGGATCTTGTGTGTCTTGCAAAACAGAACAAGGATGTCAACAAACAGCACTCATGCCTTCAATCCTGCATCACTGCAAGCTTCCCAGCTGACACTTCAGAATCTTCCCTACAGCACTGCTACAGCCACTCACCAGAAAAAGTTATTTATTTTTTTTTAGAGAAAGAGAGAACATGCAAGAAGGGCTGAGGGGCAGAGGGAGGGAGGGAAGGGGGAGAGGGGGAGAAGGGGAAAGAGGGAGAGGAGTAGAGGGGGAGAGAGGAAGAGAAGGGGAGGGGGAGAGGGAGAGAGAATGTCTTAAGCAGGTTCCAGGGGCAGCACAGATCCCACAACCCTCGGATCATGACCCGAGCCAAAATCAAGAGTCAGACGCTCAATCTACTGAGCCACTCTGGCACTCCTAAAAAGGTTTAATCCAATAGATAAGACTGCATGTTTTTTTTTTTTTATCCAGAAAACATTAAGAAACTCATAAATGGTCATTTTAAGTGTAGAGTGACAAATCACTTTGGCAAAATAGAAGAAAAAGAGAGCAGAGGCAGGGAAGCCAGCATTAGAAAGTAACTGTAATAATACAAATACACAAGTATTACAAGCCTAAACTAAGGCATGGAAGAAAGATCAATTCCACAGAAGTTAAAATCATTCACCAAAAGAGAAACTTCAGAAGATAAAGAGATTTGAATGGGAAGATAATGAACTAAAGTGGATAAAACTCATCCAAGAAGGTGAGTTTAGTTTTTAGTTGGATGGATTGACCTGGAGCTCAGAAGTCAGCATTTCAGATATGGAATATATACAGCTGCCAAAGATCATAATCAAATACCCTTTGTTACTCCCTCTGAAACATTTTCATCTCAATGCAAATGTCAGGCCCAAGCATTAATATTTTGAAATTATGCACATTATCCTAATAGTTTATTTCTTCTTTATATCATGGGTTATTTTAAGTTATGCATATAGATACGTTATATTATGTCTTAGTATAATAAAGATGTTACAAAACAGATGTAATGAAAAGGAAGTATTAGGTGTGACAGGTTGACAACACAGTTACAAGAGTTCTGAAGTTAATTCTACTAACCGAAACCTGAAACAAACAGAAATAACAAAATGGAAATAACCTAAGTAATCTACAGGTTACCATCTCATTAATATAAATTTCCTGGTACCTACCAAGGTTTCTTTACATGAACTAATGAATCATCATGGATGATATTTAAAAAACTGAAAATACTACTATAATACTATTATCTTATTTGCCTTCATTTACTTTCATAAAGAGCTCTGTAAAACAACAAGGCATCATGTTACCAGTCTAATAGTCACTTCTACTCTAGGAAAAGATAGCAATGCTCTTTTCTGGATCTTAAATCCTAACTTTGGAGGAGTATTCAACTTAACACATTTATTAGACATCGTATTACTAAAATACTGTATTGCTGATGCAGAACGTAAACCTGATTAGGATACAAGAAATCTATAAATGTAATCAAGTATAACAAAACAATATAACAATAAGGTCTAAATACAGAATAGTGGAAGCAAAAGAGTGGCCAGTTCATTGCATAAACAAGCTTCTGGTATCAATTCTTAATTTTAGTTCAAGAATGGGCTTTAAGAAGTCAGTGGTGTGTTGGGAGCCAGATCCTACTGGCAAAGCAGACCATGTACCTCCTACTAATTCCATGTATATAGCTTGAAAATGGCCATGGTGGGAGTTATTTACACCATGGAAATCAGCAAACACCACAAATCAGGTCTTTTCCCCCTGAAGAATGAAAGGATTGTTAAACATTTACCAGCATTCCGCTATATATATTTCTTATCTCTCTGAAATAAGAACCTAGTGCTTTCATCAGATTCTCAAAGGGATATGTGACCTAAAAATAACCAGTTGAGAACTGTAAGCCTAAAGATAGGGAAATAAGATGCCACTTACCTGAACAAACTGATAAAGTTTTGTCTATTAAAAAAAAAATAAAAATAAAAAATGGGCCCATCTATTCAAATGGTCCTACTTAAGTATCTGTATTACCTCCCCAAACCTCTTAATATATGTTTCAAGTTTTACTGACATCTAAGCATGGCCTTCTGAAATTGTCTACCTTTCAGAAACAACAAGTGTTGGGAAGGAGGTAGAGAAAAAGGAACCCATGTGCACGGCTGGTGGGAATGCAAACTGGTTCAGCCACTGTGAAAGTAAGGAGGTTTCTCAAAAAATTAAAAATAGGATTATCATATGATCCAATAATTTCACTTCGGAGTACTTACCCAAAGAATACAAAAACACCAATTCAAAAAGATAAATACACCCGTATGTTCATTGTAGCATTATTTACAACAACCAAATTATTTTATGGAAGCAACTCAAGTGTCCACAGATAGATGAATAAATAAAGATGTAGTAGAGGTGTGTGTGTGTGTGTGTGTGTATGCACAGAATACACACACACACACACACACACAATGGAATATTACTCAACCATAAAAAAAAGAATGAAATCTTGCCATTTACAACACTACGGATATATCTAGAGAGTGTAATGTTAAATGAAAGCAGTCAGAGAAAGAAAAATACCATATGATTTCACTCATATGGGGAATTTAAGAAATAAAACAAACAAAAAAGAGGCAAACCAAAAACAGACTCTTAACTTTAGAGAACAAACGATGGCTACCAGAGGAGAGATGGGGGAGGGTGGGGAATAGGTGAAATAAGTAATGGGGATTAAGAAGCGCAATTGTGATGAGCACTGAGTGATGTATAGAATTGCTGAATCACTGTACTGTACCTTGGAAACTAAATATAACACTGTATGTTAACTAAACTGAAATTAAAGTAAAAATATAAATTTTAAAAAATAAGTGTTTAATAAATGCTTGTGAGATCCCAAAAAACCCAAAAATTATCTTTTGAAATAAATATTAATACTGATATACCAAGGTATAAATTGATGGAATAAAATATTTAACTTTACAGATCACAAATCTGCATTAGAATCTCTGTATTATGTTATTTTAGTTCATATAGTTTGTTCCAATTAAATGACTTTCACATACATAAAACATCTTTAAAATATTCTCATGATGTCTGTTTATGGTATTCAAAATTAACTTACCATGCTGATTGACTACTACCAAGTTTCTGTAGATCATTGTATATATTTTCCTTGTAGGGAAGAAAAAAAAGAGATAAACATTTTAAAATAAAAATATATTAAACTGGACTTAACCAGATTTTTAAATACGTATTAGCATGAACTATACTGTGCACAAACTAAATTTTAAATTACTACATTCAGGGGTGCTTGGGTGGCTCAGTCACTTAAGTGTGTGACTCTTGATTTCGGCTCAGGTGATGATCTCACTATTTGTGGGTTCAAGCCCCACACTGGGCTCTGCACTAACAGCGTGGAGCCTGCCTGGGAATCACTGTCTTCCACTCTCTCTGCCCCTCCCCCGTTCATGCTCACTCGCGCTTTTGCTCTCAAAATAAATAAACTTTAAATATATTACTGCATTCAAACTATACCACTGGCAAGCTTCTAGGCCCTAACAAGCATCATAATAATTGGTGGTACAGTGATTACCTATGGTTACTCTTATTAATCACAATGGTCTTTCTAGCTGAAAAACTTATCTCCATTTCCTGAAATATGCCTTGTTTGGACTTTACCAAAAAACCCAAGAGAATGGCTGTGAATACAGAAAGCAGTTTAATACGTTTGTTTTCAAACAGAAAAGAAAAATTTCTAGTTCTGTGCTTAAAGCTTAGAAGTAAACTGCCTAAAAAGGTAGTGGATTGTACAAAACCCACATCATAGGAACTTGATTATAACTTTGACTTCTATCAACCATGGACCAATTACCTAATGAATTTTCTTTCTTGTACCTGAAATGTATTAAAAACTAAAGTCTCCTTCATTCATTTAATAAATACAGACTGAAAACAAGGAATAAAATGTAAACAAATCTCTTCCCTCATAGAGCTTGTACCTCAACAGGAAGACAATTCAGTTATTCTAGTCTTCACTGACGTTACGGTACATTTTTCTTTTTTTTACCTTTTTAAACTAATGACTTTAGAGAATGTTATTGGTCACATATCATTTCTAATTCTTATAGTTAAGGGGGAAGTGGCAATTCAATTATTTCTTTTCACCTTTGGAACTAATGATACAGCCCTGTAAACACAAAAATCAGTATTCCTATTCATATCCTTTTTCCAAGTTAGCAATTTCCCCAGTGTTTAACCTCTCAACATATTAAAATTCAAGTCAAAGATAAAATTTAAACTATGCTTTCAATGTGAGAAACTATACAACTGTACCTCAAAACGTTATCGAAAGATTCAACACTCAAATGGTACAAAATCACCAACATAGTTATTTCTTAAGTGTATAAAATAAAGCTTATATCCCAAGGCCAAGTGTAAAATAATAACATAAATATATATTAGGGGTGCCTGGGTGGCTCAGTCAGTTAAGTGTCTGACTTCAGCTCAGATCATAATCTCATGGTTCGAGAGTTCGAGCTCTACATCAAGCTCTCTACTCTCGGTGTGGAGCCTGCTTTGGATCTCTGTCTCCTTCTCTCTCTGCCTCTCCCCTGCTCTCTCTCCCTCTCAAAAAAACAAAATAAACATTACAAGAATAAACATTAGTTATATGGAAACCAACTAGATCATAAACTATATTAAAAAATAAAACATTAGACAAATGTGACTTCTTAGTGGGAGGATGTTTATATAATGTTAAATTAAAAAGCATGACAAAATTAAATACAGTATGTTCACAACTGGGTTAAAACACATCTGCACATAACAGAAAAACAACAGATAAAAATACCACTCAATGACAAACTATAGTCTTCCCCCCAACCCCCGTTCTTGGTTTGTCTTTTCCTATCGTCCAATAATGAATACATATGATACTTACATAATGAAACTGTTTTGAAGTTATAAAATCCCATTTAATTACTATCTTTTAAGATATAATATTAGTGAACACCAAATATTAATAGAACTTAGTTAATTGTTTCAGGTGAAAAGTATTCATCCCATTAAGATAAATATACAGGCTAAAGCTCCACACAGAGTGTGCTAAACCAAATGTGAAAAGGAATTCCAAATGTAAGGAAAGGATGACTGAAGAGTCTTCAGTTCCCAGAAGAATAATTCTAGAAACGTTATCTGTGTTATATTCAGCTGATGAAGTGCTATAATGATAACTGGCAAAATAATCTCCAAAATAACAAATGCTTAAATTTAAGCCTTTACCACAGGGTAGTCAAAAGATGGGTCTTTGAAAGTAATCGCAGTATTTTTTAATTTACAGTAACCGTGACTAACATTTTAAATGCTTTCTATGTGTCAAACACTGCTTTTCACACATTGTCTTCATAAAGTCCACATGAGGTATTTATACTATCCCTACTTTACAAATGGGCTAAGCTAAGGCTGAGAGCAAGTAAACCAATTTATCAAGTCACACAGCTAATAAGTAACTGAGCTAGGTCTCAAACCCATGTTTGTAAGATTCAGGAACTCAGGTTCTCAAGCAATATGCTATCTTGCCAAGAAATCAAATTTCCACATCTTTTATATATACGGCAACAATTTTTCTCTGACAAAAGGGAGTGAAGATGGAGGTGAACTGAAACGTTTGCCCAGATGGCTTTTTACACTTGACTAAACTGAAGAATTAATTACCTGTGTTCTTTCACAGAGAAGCTTGGCACTCCAAATAAATCCCCTAGGAGATCATTGGAACAATACACAATATGCTGTTGCTTCTCATCATATAATCGTTTAGTCATAATATACTGGCCAAGGTAAAATATAACCTGAAATAGAAATATGATTTCTGAGCATTAAAGAAAAGTAAATGTTAGTTTCAAAAACATGCAATATCTCATTTATCTAACAACGGTTAACCAGCAACCATACCCACAACCATCTAGAATAACAACCATTCTATACTCTTAAAAGGCTTTTAAATCTTTTCCTTCTAATTTGTTGAGTAGACACTGCTTCTCCAATTTACTTAAATAAACCTTGAAATGTGTCTGTGTTTAATAGGCTTTTAACTCTGCTCAGATATCTAGTACTACATACTAGGAAGAAAAGGGCAGTGAAATGCAAAACCACTGAGAGCAATAAAAAGTTGCAAAATCAAAGCCTTAACTAAAATACAGCAATAACCTGCAGTCATTTAGTAAATACTCCCCCCAAACAACAAACATCTCAACAGCCTCTGGGGTCATCACAGACGAGAATGACAGGAAAGGGACCAACTAAACCCATATAACAGTTTGGGAGAATTCAGTGAATAGAATAAATCCTTAAAGATATCAAAATAATCTATGCAACAATAAGTAATCAAAAGAGTGACCCTGAATCATACATATACACTTAAATGTTGTGTGCTCCATTATGACAAAGTAATACACCTAAAGACATCCACATACAAACCTATTAACCACCACCTAAACATGTTTTTTGTTTTTTTTTTTACAATTTAAATGCACTTCTATAAGTACTATCCCATTCTTCTGATATTTCATGGAATTGTTTTCACTGTATTAGAGACAAGGGAATGAACCTGGTCTTCTGACTCCTAGTCCAGTGTTCTTTCTACTACCCTATATTAGCTTTCATCACTCTCTTATATGCCCCAGAACAAAGATCTTGCAACTGAAAATTATATCAGACAAAACATATAGATATTACTGTTACATGGTTTAGCATAAGCATTGTGCATCTTTATAACAGCCTTGTCAATTTCCCCTTCTTTCTTTTTTTTTTTTTTTAAACATTCATTTATTTTTGAGAGAGAGAGAATGCGAGTAGGGGAGGGGCAGAGAGAGATGGAGACACAGAACCAAAGCAGGCGCCAGGTGCCTAGCTGTCAGCAGAGGCCGACATGGGGCTTGAACCCACAAATCATGAGATTATGACCTGAGCTGAAGTCAGATGCGTAACCAACTAAGTCACCAAAGGGCCCCTCCCCTATTTCTATCTACTACTAAATGCATACCTTTTGTTTCCTTAACTAATTATGTGATGATAATGAGGTCAAACCCAAGTTAACAGCCCTAAAAACATCCCTAACCTTGATGCTTCCCTACAATCTGTAGACTTAACTGGCTAAGCAGGCCTCACTTAAAGGAATATTCCCTGGTGAGTATGGATTGAAGAGACGGTTGACAGACCATGGGAAAGAAGAGAACCTACATTCCTACCAAACACCCCATTTGGAAGTTTTTAAAAAGTGTGGCTGAAAAGGAAAATGGTCTGGAGTCTCTTCTTGACCCACTATCCCAATGAAGATCAGGAAATTCCGTGTTTTGAGCAATTTGGGACCCATAAAGTAAGTGGGAGAGATGGGGAAAAGGCACATTTCATTCACAGTGAAATTTTGCCTAAGATGGCCCAATCTCTCACTGAAAATCATGCCTCTGTGCACAAATTTCAAGCTAGAGAACAATACATTGAAATGTATCCATTAAATAGAACATATATGTTCATGAATCAGCTCACCTCTATCCCAGAAAGATCAGTATACTGTACTCATGTATCTCTAGTGCAGAAGTTCTTAACCTGGGATCCATGGATGCCCAAGAAGTCCTTGGATAGAATTCAGGGGGTCCATTAATTTGGATGGAAAAAAAATTTCTATATTTTCACTAACTTTTAACTGAAATTTAGCTTTCCTTCAAGTATGAATATAGGCAACAGACCACAAAGTATTAGTAATACCTGTGATTTCTGTCACCAATAAAAATCACAAGTGTTTTCAGATCACATTATGCTTGGTGTAAACACCTCAAAATACTAACTATACTCCTCAAAATATTAACGATAGTCCTTGAAATTACATTTATTAGATCTACTGCTAAATCTTATTTACTATGTTAATAAAAAAGCACACACACAAAAAAGTACATATATCACAAACTTGTTTACTATTTTGATAACTATGTTACATAATTTGTTTCCTTTGTAATCCTATACATTTGGTTCATGCATTTGGAAACAGGATTCTGAAAAGACTTTTCCAGTTTGCCAAGTGGGTCCACAGCACAAAAATGCTAAGAACCCCTACAGAGTCTCCCCTTGTCTCAAAGAGTTCCTAGCTGAGAAGTGATAGTCAAGTATAATTAGAATTTTCAGCTTCAAGTTATAGTCCACATGGCCACAATATTTAATACTGCTGCTTACTGAAAAATCACTCTATATGGCCAATTTCTCCCCATGACTACATGTAACTAGTAAGACATTAGCTATCTTGTTATCGCTTAACTTACCTCTTTCATAGTATAAGTGTCTTTTTGTGCACCAACAGACTTTAACAACTTCAAAAGCAATGGCTTTGGTCTAACCTATAAAAAACAAAAAGTGGCTATTATACTTCCAAAATTATTCCAGAACTGTAGTCCCACAGCAAGCATGTCCCTAATGAATCTCAATAAACATAGCAGACATTACATTTAACAATCTCACAAGGTTAGAACTCCAAAAATAAGTCACATGTTTTACTAAATGGAATAAACTATAGAAACTGAATACCACAGACTGTCAAGGCAGCTTGGGAAAAAAATGCTGAGATTTAATTACTGTGCAAATAAGCACAGAATCCTCAAGTATCATCAGCTGCAATCAGAAACAGTATCCATGCCAAGGCAGTGAAAATTATTCTTTTTCCTCCAGCTATTTCTATTATCTGCTTACTACCTTACAAACTTAAACATAAATGGAATACTCCAATGAGATTACCATAAACTACATTGCAAAATCCAAGAGAGAAGAGTAAGTCTTTAGGGTAGGTCCTTTTCCCATTCTCTTTCCACACATTAGGCTCCTGAAGGCTGGATAACTTAAAGAATCCAAACTGACAAAGATTATTAAGAGCAGATATAAGACTGCAATTCACAACCTCCTCTACAAAGCAGCATTTTCTTCCTACTATACCATGCTGCCTCTTAGTTGGTCTACATTTCAAATATCTACTTGACAAACATCTATTGAGTTTCTACCACGCACCAGACAGTGGTAGGTATGAGGGAGGGGGCATACATAAAATATGAGCTTTATTCAAGGAGCCAGCCAACTAGATCAGGGGTCAATTTTTTCTAGAAAGAGCCAAAATGTAAATAGTTGAATCTTTTCCTGCCACATGGTCTGACTCAGAAGTACAGATAATATGTAAACCAATAGCCATGGCTGCATTTCAGTAAGACCTTCTTTATAAAAATAGGCAAGAAACCAAAACTGGTCCACAGGTTATAGCTTCCCTCACCCTGATTTAGAAGTTCTGCAAGTGGTATTGAGAAAATAAATGGCAAGGAGGCAGAGATATAATATACTCTTTCTCCCTAACTGTTGCTGTATCAAAATCTTCAAAATGCAAGTGTCTTTACAGCTTGCTCCCTCCACAAAGACTGGGGTCTCTGCACCTATCTTCAGTATACGCCCATCCTTTGTCTCCTTGGAAATGTAACAGCAGCCCGGAATGGTATCTAACTCGCAAAAGTAGATATAAGAAAATTGCCTATTTCTAGCTAATCAAGGAAATAATAACCAAAAAACTTAAAATACACATTAGTATTGAATCATTAGCTGTTCTGATCACACGCTTTGTTGTGCGTGTGCTTATATGTACACTTTACTCCCAGGCTACTTTAAAGAATGAACTCTCTGAAAATGATTAAATAAATTACTTTTTTCCTCCTCAAATTTTATATATGCTATATTAACTTCAAACTACATAAAACAACTCAAAGTAAAAATCTGCATGGAAAGCCATTAGTCTTTTATTAAGACCTAAAATACATACAATGAGAATACTATAAAAACCATTCTTAATCTTTCATTTAATAACAAAATAATAAATGCCAAATGAGAAAAGATCTAGATGTGAAAATTAAAATACTACAAGAAAATACAGGACTATATCTGCATAATCTTGGAATGGGAGAATTCTTCCAAAGCATGATATGAAATTCAAAAACCAACAAGTCAATAAATTTGACTTCATAAAAACATTCTCAAAACCAACATAAAGTTAAATGCAACATTTGTAAATGATAAAATTTAAATATATTTGAAACACAGAGAACTACAAATTATTACAAAAAACACAATAAACCTAAAGGAAAAGTGAACAGATGAGAGCAAGCAAATCCCAGAAATGATTTAAGGAACCACAAGACACCCAATCTCAACAGACGTTAAGGAAATACAAATTTAAACAATGATACAGTACCTTTTACCACAAGAATATCAAAAAAGTAAAAACTGAAAATATTCAGTGTTGGCCAAGGTGAACACTGTTATAATCTTTTGGTTATCAAGATGTGAATAGCAATCAAATACACGTATAGTTTAGGACCCAGGAGCTCTACTTCTACAAAATCCTATAGGAGACATGTACAAAGCAGCACTATTTTTTTTTTATAAAAGATTTTCATTAATGTTTTTGAGAGACAGAGACAAAGCATGGGCGGGGGAGGGGCAGAGAGCAGGAGACACAGAATCTGAAACAGGCTCCAGGTTCTGAGCTGTCAGCACAGCCAGACATAGGGCTCGAATTGACGGACCGCGAGACCGCGAGATCATGACCTGAACCAAAGCTGAATGCTTCAACTGAGCCACCCAGGGGCCCCAAAGCAGCACTATTTGTAATACTCAAAACACAATTTAAAAAAAAAAAAAAGTTAAAATAAAAAACCTTATCAGTAGAGGCATAAATTTGTTAAATGGTACCCTAATGCTCTGGAACACTATGGAGGCATTAAACAGAATTCTATAGATTTCCTCACTTGGATGTAATTTGCACAACTCTAGTTTAATCCTGTTTTAATAGAACAAACAGAATAACAAATTAAAATCTGCATATATATGTATACAGACACCTACATATATATATATATGTGTATGTACAAAAAAATCTAAAAAGACACATTGTCAAAAGAGAAGACTAGAGAGGCACCTGAGTGGCTCAGTCAGTTAAGCATCTGACTCTTGATCTCGCTGCATGTCATGGTCTCTAGGTTTGTGGGATAGAGACCCACATCAGGCTCTGGGCTGACAGCTTGAAGCCTGCCTGGGACTCTCTCCCTCCCCCTTCCCCCCATATGAATAAATAAACTAAACAAAAAGAGAGAGAGGATCAGAATTTCCAGTTTTCTGTAATGCCTAAAATCTTTCTAAGCATGAATTTGTTTTATGACTTAGAAACTTAAATGATAAGTCAAAATAGGGGGAAAAAATCGGTCACATAATAAACATAACTTCAGAATCCGTGCTTAAGGATGTAATGGAACTCAATTTTAAGTCCAATGTGGTAAAGGACAAAGAAATTAATACCGCTTCTTACAGTCAGTTTTTATGGTTATGCCTGAATGGCAGAATTCAAGCTACTTTCATACATTTTCATTTAAAGAGCCATGCCATAAATGTAGTCTATGGAATCTGGTTGATCACCTCATAAATAATTCTTAAAAGTTACACTTGAGACAAAAATACCAACCAGGGTCTCTTGTTCCGAAGCTGGAATCTGTGAGGTGCTTACAGCACCATCAGTAGACACAGACATGTTGGTATTGCACATTTGCCTATGAGTAGGAAAAAAACACACATGATAAAAACTTGAAATAAGGAAACAAATGTGAAAAAAAACAAAACCAAAGTTATGTGGAAAGGAGATAAACAATGCCCTTAAATACTGTAGTCAAACTAAAGCCAGTAACAAGCTGGTCCTTACCTGGATCAGTGCAGAATAAGTGTTCTACGTTGGTGACCACAGGTATCTATCTCAAATCGCCAGTGAATACAGCTGGGAAAACGCACGGCTTAAATAGCCCCAGCTGGGGACAAGTCGGGGCTTAGCTCCTGCTGCGTACTAGGAACGTGTCCGAACTTGACCAGCCCAAAGGGAAAAGCTGAGTCAACTCAGCCACAGAGCCAGCCCAAACCCGCCCAGACAAGGCGCCCGGCTCACGCAGGCTACAGAACAGGCACCTGTCACCATTGGGACCCCAAGCCGAGAAGCAGCCTACGGCCCCGCAACGCATCCCCCGCCCACGTGACCTTTATCCGGACCACCCGCGGAGCCCCCCGCCTCCCGCCCGCCGGGCTGGCGGAACCGAAACCCCGCCCTCCTCCCGGGCGGCTACAACCTTGCCTCCCTCCAACAAAACCCGCCACAAACCCACGTGCCCCGCGCCCCCCACCAACAAATGCACAAAGCCTGCAGGCGAGGAAGAGGCTACAAACGACAGCGAGCTGGGAGACCCCAGGTCACAGAACAAATCCAGAACTGCCGACGCGCTTCCCGGCCGGTACCTGCTCTCACCAAGCGGAGTTGTCCGCGCCTGGAGTAGGAGGAGTGGGGACCCTCGAGGCTCCCCAGTTGCCTTCACTAGGCGCGCAGAAGCCCGACGCCCTGGGCCTCGGCGATCATTCCACCAGCGGGGCCCAGGCCACTGGGGCGCTCGAAAGCACTAGGTCCGGAGAAGAAAGAGGCTCCTGGCGGCGAAGACGGCAGGGCCTCGGTCGGAGGGGTTGGGGCAGCCCCTCAGACTCGGGCTCTTACTCCATTTTCTTCCCAGCCACACAGGGCCGCGCAGGCCCCTTACGGACCCAAGCCCGCCGAGGTGCGCCCGATGCGCGCCCCCTGCCGCCCCAGAGGAGCGCGCCGGAAGCCGCGGCTCATCCGGGCGCTTGTGCGCGCGCGCGCGCCCGGGACCCACCACGTCCGCCAATTGGGGGAGGGAGCTGGGCCGGCCACCTCCGCGAAGGGGGCGGCCCGGGAGCCCGGCGCGCGCAGCCCCCGCCCGCGGCCTCACAGGGTGGGAGGAGATGCCGGGCCTGCGCGCGCCTCCGGCGGGTGTCGGCCGCCGGTTCTCCCGGGGTGGGGCTCGGCTCAGCCCGCCGCGCTTCGTTTGGCGCGCGACCCTTGGGACTTCTTAACCGTTGTGCTATTTCTGCATTTCGTGTGTATACAACTTTCGACCGCGATGGAAACTGCAGGCACCAGGCGTATCTGAGTGCAGTTACCAAAAAGAAACCAAAATTAACAGCTGTGCGTTAGATTAAGCCCACACCGCCTGCGAGTTGTATACAAACGAGTTATTTTAAGACTTGTTTTTCTAAAAAGTATGATTAAAAATAGCACAATATAAAAAAATAGCACAACATAGATGACAATAAACTATTTGTAAAAAATTTTAAAAAATAGCACAAAATAGACTTGTACGTGATGCATACAAATGTTCTGGTTGGAGAAATAAAAGACTTACGGTGGCTACAGTGATGGGGGTATTGCGGAGATCAAGAACAGCTGTTACTTTTCACTTAATGCTTTTAGAATGTTTGGGTTTGTTTATAGAATATATACATTCTCGTTAAAATATATATATTTATTAAACACTCCGTACTGATTGATCTTGCCCCTTTTGGCATATAGGCGTGGCGATTTCAAAAATAAATAAGGACATAAGAATTGAGTTGGTTCAACCCAAAGAGCACAGTCACTGCAAAGAACAAGCTTCTTTGACAAGGAAGCAATTGGTTCCTTTTTTTAAAGGACTTTTTTTTTTTTACAAATAGTTTATTGGTTTTTTATTTTTTATTTTTTTACAAATAGTTTATTGTTTTTTTATTTTTTTACAAATAGTTTATTGTTTTTTTATTTTTTTTTTACAAATAGTTTATTGTTTTTTATTTTTTTATTTTTTTTTAAGGACTTTTTTTTTTAAATTAAAGTTATAACTTTACTTTCTCCCACTCTGTAGCCTACAAGAAAAGAATCTTTCTTAAACATACTGGTCACTAAGTTTATTTAATTGCCAACATTATTAGCTTCAGGGATTTGGTTTGGCTTTTTAAAAGAATCTCATCTTGGGGTGCCTGGGTGGCTCAGCCGGTTGAGCATCCAGCATCCAACTTTGGCTTAGGTTATGATAAGGTTCATGGGTTCCAGCCCTGATGTAGGCTCTGTGCTGAACGCGTAGAGCCTGGAGCCTGATTCAGAGTCTGCGTCTCCCTCTCTCTGTCTCTGACCCTCCCCTGCTCGCACTCTGTCTTTCTCTCAAAAAATAAACATTAAGACGTAAGTAAATCGGAGTTTCCTGGGGCGCCTGGGTGGCTCAGTCAAGCATTTGGCTCTTGATTTCAGCTCAGGTCATAATCTTGTAGTTCATGAGATTGAGCCCCAAGTCAGGCTCTACACTGACAGCAAGGAGGCTGCTTGGGATTTTCTCTCTCTCTCTCTCTCTCTCTCTCTCTCTCTTTCTCTCTCTTTCTGCCCGTCCCCTGGGGAAGCACACGTGTGTGTCTGCTCTCTCTCTCACTCTCTCTCTCAAAATAAATAGATAAATGTAAAAAAAAAATTGGAGTTTCCCTAAATGCCAAGCAAAAGAATTTAGGTTACGGACAGAGTAAGCAAATTAGGACAGATCAGAAGGAGGTAAATAGGTGAACTGCTTTAAACTGTGGTTTTAGCACCACCACCTTGATCCAATTCAAGCTCTGAATAGCCTGGCTAGCAGCCTCTAGATCAACTTTCCCGCTTCTCACTGGCTCTGTGTTTTGAAAAATTCTCTTGGCAGAATTAGTAGAGTGGAGGAGCAAAGGGCAGAACTGACTAGATTAGTCCTTTTCTAATGAAATCAGAGAAGAGCAGGAAAGAAGGGAGAAGTGGTAGGATTTAAGGTACTGGGGAGACGGATGAGGCAAGGATTCTACCTTTCAAGGCATCAGTATTAAAAACTTCCCACGTGGATCAAGCACTACCCAAGGCCCAGGTGGTGAACAACATAGCCGTACTCCCCCCTGTCATAGAACCTAACAGTCTGATTCTACATTTCCACCCAAAGAGAATGAATGACAGTACCACTGACACAAAGTCTGCAGGAAATGAAAAGCTGGCTGGTTGTTGACTTTTGGACGATGCACCAGAGAACAAAGAGTTTGGTGGTAGAAAGTGTGGAACTGAAGCTCAGGCTAGAGACAGAGCATTTGAGGTGGTGACTGGCTCAATGTGTAAGAACTGATGAGCTCCTCAAAGGAGAGAAGAGACAGACTGAAATAAGGCAGCTGGGGTAGAAACCACAAAGAATGAGCGAATGACCAGAAGTGCACCTAGCACCGGCTAGCTAGTGGTGCCCCAAAACTGGGAAAGTCAAGTAATGATACTGAATACTGCGGGAGTCAAAGATGAGGAACGAGAAAGCACTCCGGATCTTCTCACCCTAAAAATTGTTGCCATTGTTTGTGGCTTTATGATTAAGAAAAAAATGCAGACCAGCTGCTGCTGTTTCCCTGCATTCCACCATCATCCTGTCTCACTCTGCCCTTGTACTTACTCTAGGCTTTTCTGGAAGCAAACATCTGCTTAATTTTTAGTAGAATTGTTCTCGATACCCTTCCTTCGTCCCAAGAGATGGAGACACCTTGGGACGCCTGGGTGCTTCAGTCTCAGTTAAATGACTGGTTCAGGTCATGATCTCACCGCTGTGGGTATGAGCCCTACGTAGGACTCTGTGCTGACAGCTGAGAGCCTGGAGCCTGCTTCAGATTTGGTGTCTCCCTCTCTCTCTCTCTCTCTCAAAAAATAAACATTAAAACAAAAATAATAATAATAATAAACAAAATATCCCAAAGTCTTAAAAAAGAGAGAAAGAGAGAGATGGAGACACCTTGAGCATCTTATATTCTTTGGGACCTAAAGTCTGCAAACACATTCACAATAGACTTCTGTCCTGGTCCCAGGGCCACCTCAGATTTGCATTTACTAACGATAACTGATTAATCTTTAAAGAATGGGGGAAACAAGATTTATCTCAGACACAGTGTTCAGAATGCTTAGAATGCTGAAAGTTTCACAATATTTATTTGACTGTCTAAAATTACAGAAGTAGTTCAAATTCCAAGTAGTTATCTTTCCAAATGTCTGGAGATGAATAGTGTTACTTAAAAAGCAAAATCCCAACAAATAGTGAGTATAAACCCAGGTGCTTTTTTTAATGTTTATTTATTTTAAGAGCTATCTCAAATGAAGAAGAGGCAGAGAGAGGGAGAGAGAAAATCCCAAGCAGGCTCAGCGAGGAGTCCGGCACAGAGCTCTACTTCACAAACCGTGAGACCATGACCTGAGTCAAAATCAAGAGTCAGGCGCTCAACCAACTGAGCCACCCAGGTGCCCCCAGGCTTTTTGTTTCTCTTTTGAGAATTCATCAATTAACTTTTTGTCTGTGTTGACAAGTTTAAAATATTCAGAAACATTCCCACAACAATTAATATCTAATGTAATCATTGCCTAGATTTCATATTTGTCATTTCTTCTTCAGATATATTTTAAAATAAGGGATATTTTTTAAAAAGGTGAAATTCCCCTTAATCCCATTCCCCTCCCTCTCCTGAGACAATTGTAACTATCAGTTTGGTATATATCCATTAAGTCCATATCTTTATACATTGACTATAAATTTATGAATCTGTAAACAGTAAACACAGTAGTCTACATACATACAAAAAGAATTGCTGGGCCACAGTGTAGTAAGCCTTATGTGGAATTTCAAAATCTAACAAGGAAAGCTGTCCTTGTCTTTTTCAGAATGGTTTTGTCTGTTCTTTTTTTTTTTTTAATTTTTTTAATGTTTTTATTTATTTCTAGGAGAGAGAGAGAGACAGCGTGAGCAGGGGAGGGTCAGAGAGAGAGAGTGACACAGAATCTGAAGCAGGCTCCAGGCTCTGAGCTGGCAGTCAGCACAGAGCCCGACGCGGGGCTCGAACCCACGAACCGCGAGATCATGACCTAAGGGAAAGTTGGACGCTTAACCGACTGATCCCAGTTTCAGAGTTCATTTGTCTAAATTATGAACGAGAATCCTATTGGAATTTTGATTCAAATTGCATTGGATTAATAGATTAATTTGACATCTTTTCAGTCTGGATTCTTCCCAGATGAGAACATGACAGTTTTTTCAGGTCTCCCTTTGCATTCTTTAATAATTGTTTTATCATTCTCTCTATAGGACACTGATTGATTTTTGTATATTGATCTTACAGCCATCAATACTGCTGCATTTTGTTTTATAAGCACTGCTAGTTTTTCAGTAGTTGCTCTTGAATATTTTTATGAAAACAGTAATATCATCTGTAAAAATCATCAATTTGTCTCTTCCTTTTTCTATGTCTCCTTATCTTATAACCTTTAGAGCAATTGTTATTTTATGGAATAGTAGCAAAGATAGTGGACATCCTTGTCTTATTCCTGACTTTAATAAAAATGCTTTTAGGGGCGCCTGGGTGGCTTAGTCGGTTAAGCGTCCGACTTTCGCTTGGGTCATGATCTCGCAGTTCGTGGGTTCGAGCCCCACGTCGGGCTCTGTGCTGACTGCCAGCTCAGAGCCTGGAGCCTGCTTCAGATTCTGTGTCACCCTCTCTCTCTGACCCTCCCCTGCTCACACTGTCTCTCTCTCTCTCCTAGAAATAAATAAAAACATTAAAAAAAATGCTCTTAGAGGTCCCTGGGTGGCTCAGTCGGTTATGTGTCCAACTCTTGATTTTGGCTCAGGTCATGATCTCGCAGTTTGTGGGTTTGAGCCCCGTGTCGGGCTCTGTGCTGACAGCACAAGGCCTGCTTGGGATTCTCTCTCCTTCTC